CATACCATTTGTCATTTAAACCAGGTTTCCTGATTCCCCATCCCAAAATTCTCTGCCCTTCACTACCCATCTTCCTCACGGCGCTTCACAGAGAATGAGGGAATCCCTGTGAAGATCCAGCCTTGAGGGTGGTGGGAAATTCTCCTGCTTCTCTGGGGCCAGCTCTCAGCTGGGAACTAACATCACCCTTCAAAGGTTCCCCAGACGAAGACTGATCGGGTGATCTTTATGGTCTCTTCCTATTCTTCTAGTTGAAGAGAATAAAAAAATGAAATCACCACCATCATTATCTTCCCTCCTCCTCCCTGCAAAGATATAGTACAAGTCTTCCCAGGTTTCTCTAAAACCATTTCCCTCTTTTATCTCTTATGGGATAAAAGTAATGCCTCAGGTCTAGTAGACAGAAAGCCGGCTGCAGAGCCAGGAAACCCTGGATTCAGATTCCACCTCTGTTACATACTAATTGTGTGACCCTGGACAAGCCACTCATCTCATGTTCTAAGCAGCTTCCCAAGCTGCAGAGAAGCTTCTGGCTATTCTGCTTTGGTAGAGAGAACTCGCTCATCTGTAAGTCCCCAAATCAATGAAATCACAGCCCTAGTCCCTGCCCCCATCATTCTTTCCCCCTAACCTCTACAACAAACAAGAGTGCATTTCCTTTTCAAAAATAATTTTTGCTGTTATTCTGTACTCGGCAAACCCCAATTAGTATGAACATTCCCAACTGCAAAGAGAAAGGGGATCGTACTTGAATGTCTATTACAACAACTTGCTTTAACAAAACAACGTATAACGGCTGACCAAATTATGGCATATGAATATGAGAGAGAACTGAGGAGGGCAATGGTTTTAGAGAAGCCTGAGAAGACTTGTATCAACCGAGGCAGTGAAGCGAATAGAACCAGGAGGACAACTGCTACTGTAGCAGCAACATTGTAAAAATGAGCCACTTTGAAAGCCTTTAAGCTCATTAACTCAAAAACCAACCATGATTCCAGAGGATCTAAGATGAAGGATCTCTTGAGAGAAAGACGATGGAGTAATACGCAGAGGGGGATGAACGTTTTTGGATATGCCCTAGATGGGAATTGGTTTTGCTTGACTATGCTTATTGGTACAGGGTTCTTTTTTGGGGGGCAGGAGGGGAAGTAGGAAGGAGAAAAAGTTTGATAATTAAAAAAAGTAAATTGAATTTTAAAAATTACTTTATTAGATGTTAGTTTTAAAGATGCCCTGCTTGTTTGTATCTCCCTCCAAACTTCTGTCCATTCTTTTTTCTTTAAACGTTTTGAAGATCCCTTTTTTTCCTTTTTTTTTTTTGACCTCACTATCATTCACCCTGTCTCCTAACCCCACCCCAATTAAAGCTGAACCGGAGGGTGGGAAGGCTCCTCTTTGGGGTTGTGGTGGAGAAAGCCTAGAGTCAGGAGTGGAGCCTGGAGAAGAAGAGGACACGGCTAGCCCTGGTATTTTCCTTCAAATTAGGGAAAGGGGCTGCAGGGGAAGGGAACTTCTGATGATACTGTTGCATGGCCGTCACTCTTTACACTTTGCATTAGTTCGTCCCAGTCTCCCCCGCATCTTTGTATTCATCATATGCAGAGTAAGATTACAGCAGAATAAGATTCATCACAATTTGCTCAGCCACTCCCTGACTGATGTGCATCGACTTCCTAATTTTTTAATTTCTTTGGAATACCATCAAAAGAGCTGTTATAAATAATTGGTGTATATGGAGACTTTCTTGTTGTCAGTGGCCTCCTTGGAGCAATGGGTGGAACCCTGGGTCAAGGAATGAGGGCATTTTGATCATTTCATTTACATAATTCCCAAAAGGTCTCCAGAGTGGTTATACCAATTCACCACTCCACCAACTACTCGGTGGTGTGCCTTTCTCTTCACTACTATTCCTATCTTTTGTCATCTTTGGCAAAGATGACAACTTGATGACAGGCTTGGGTTTTTTTCTTCTCATTTCTCTTACTGATAACTCGGGGGGGGTCACTTTATATGGTTGTTAAGTTCTCAATATTTGTCTTTGACTGCTTATCTACTGGGAAATGGCATCTGAGTTTGTTGATTGCCTTGGATAACAAACCTTGTCAGAACCATTTTACACAAAGATTTTTTTCTCCCTGTGAACCACTTTTCATTTTCCAGCATTGTTTTAAGAGAAGGCTTGCTGGTCAGAGGAGGGGCATATTTGGAAATGAATATGACTTAAAAGCAAAAGGCGCCCACCACTCAAATCAAAATTAAATGAAAATGGGTTACCAGAAAATGTTGGGGTCCAGCAGCTGAGGGTCAGTGGGGTTGGGCCTGATGTTGCAAGTGACCCGTGACCCATAAAGGTACTGTGTATGTTCTCAAAGCTGCCAGTCGGCAGCATTCTAGCAGGTTCTGGCCTGACTTTTCTTGAGAAACAGTGTGGTGTTTTGGGGAGAGTGATGGACTAAGGAAGATCTGAGTTCAAATCTGAATTTGGACACTCAGTAGCCATGTGACCCCGGGTAAACTACTTAACCTGTTTACTTTGGTTTCCTCATCTGTAAAATTGTGGTAATAGCACTACCCTCCCAGGATTGTTGTGAGGACTGAATGAATGAAATACATGAATGAATATCTAACAAAATAAATATACAAAACATAAAATAAGTATAAAATATAAAAATAAATTAATAAAAAATGAAAAAAATGCTCAGCAAACTTTAAAGTGTCATATAAATGTCAGGTATTATAGTAGTCAACCCTCAAGCTACTGAATTTGGGAGTTCATGACAGACTCCATCCCAGTGAAGGTCACGGAGTCTATGACAACTTGGAAATTAAGACAGGGAGAAGAGTTACATCCTGGCTGAACGTCACATAAAATAGAGTAATTGAGGCAGGAAGGCTGGAGGCTGACTTCTAGCCTGGCCCTGCTCCTCCTTACATAAGCAGTGACCTTGGTGAAATCCCCTTTCCCTTCTCCAGGCCACAAGCGCTGGACGGGCACAATGATGTCACTGCCAACCTGCTGCCAAGACGGAAGGGTCCTGGGCAGTGCAAAAGGTGGGGGCAGCCCTGGTGCCTCAAGGCACCCACCCTCCTTGGGAGCAATCGGGTGAGCCTGGCGTCTGGGAGAGCTGGATGGACACTGGGGGGCCTCCTGCAATTTGGACGAGAGCTGCAGCTGATTTTAAACCATCTGGGGGTGTGTGCTAAGTCTCTGCTAGCGACTGGGATGGGAAGGGAACGTGAGTGGGAAGTCTGCAGGGAACACCCAGGGGTAGTCTAGAATCACAATCAGCAAGGATAGACTGAACATCTTCGACCTCAGAAGAGGACATCTAGTCCCTTATTCCAGAACAGGGGTAGAGAACCTCTAGCCTCGAGGCCACGTATGGCCCTCTAGGTCTTCAAGGGCAGCTCTTTGACTGAACCCAGACTTCACAGAACAAATCCTCTTAATAAAAGGATTTGTTCTGTAAAACTTGGACTCAGTCAAAAGGCCACACCCAAGGACTTAAGAGGCTGCACACGTGGCCTCAATGCTGCAGGCTCCTTACCCCTGCTCTAGAACATCTAAGACATGGTCATTCAGCCTTTGAACACATCCTGTGATGGGGAGCTCGCTCCTTCCTGAGGCAGCCCATTTTATTTTTAGACAATTCTCTCCTTAGAACAGGGCCAGTAACAGACCTGTGGGGTGCTCTGGCCCCTCACAAATACTCTCTTACAGTACAAAGCACATCCCACCCAGTCCCTGGTGTTTGCGCCCCTTAGCCCCCACTAGACTCTAAGGGCAGGGGCTGCGTCTCCTGTCCCATGCCTTGCTCTCTAGCACATACCGTTTCCTCTCCCCTGACCACAACATCCCTGGTCTGCACTATTCAGGTCATCAGCGTGTCCCCCTAAGTCTTCTCAGGCTGCTCACTGGACCCTGAGGTCTGAAAGGCCTCTTCGGGCCTCAGTTTCCTCATCTCTAAAATAAGGATCATAGCCCCTTCCCCACGAGCTGCTGGGAGGATCATGAGAGAACTGATTCTGGCCATTTTCCTCCTCTCCAAACTAACCCCCCCAAGCTCCGTTAGCCGATTCAGCTCCATTGGCCAGGGTCCAGGCCCTCACCAGCCAAGCTCTCCTCCTCAAAGACGCTCATCAGCCTACCAGCATCTCTCCTCACCTGTGGTGCCCGGGGGCAGGGTGGGGGACCACAGGAGAGGGCAAATCCCTCCACCAGGTGAAGCAGCCAGCAGCCACAGGGCCATGGGCTCACAGGTCCAGGAAGAACCTCAGAGGCATCAGGCTCAAATGTAGCCCAAAGATGTTCCACAACGCTGCTGCTAACAGTGCTCACCACTCAGCCTTCGCTTGAAGACCTCTGGGGACAGGAAACTTCCTAAAGCTGCAGCGTGCCCTGCTTCAGATCACCCCAATTGTCAGGAAGCCTTTCCTCACACTGAGGGGAAATAAGCCAGGCCCCAGCCGTTATGAAGCAGACCGTCTCGTAAGACATAGAAGTCCTGAGTTCAGATCCAGCCTCAGATGCCTACTAGCTGTGATCCAGGGCAAGTCACTTAACCTCTCTCAGTTTTCTGAACTGTGAAATGGAGATAACAGTCCCTACTTCCAAGGGCTGTCGTATCTCATGGCTTGGCACATCTTCGAGCTCTAAAGAAATGCTACTATTAAAAGACACAGAATGTGCCTCGTGCCATCAGACGTAGTTCAGAAAGGATCCTAGTGTCCAGTCACCACACCTTCTTCCCACCATTCCTCGTCCTGACCTCTCAGGCCTAACCCCGCATGCTCCCTGAGTCTCCTCCTCCAGCCAAATGTTCTTGGCTCTGCCCCCTAGCTACCCTGGCCGCCCTCCAAGCTGGGCAGGGATGCATCTCCAACCTTTCAGAGCCCCTTCTTGCTCTGGCAGCTTCACTGGACTCCCAAGTACTGAAAAAAGGTTCTGATCCTGACAGCCGGAGCCAATCTTGCCCCAGCTTAAACGTCACGCACGGAGATAAGAAGGCTGGAGAGCCAGAAGCGGTTTTATTGCTCACTCAGGAAGTCATGCCCTGCTGTTCATATGCTAACACCTATGGGGCTCCAAGCTGGGGACCACCACCCTGAGATTCAGGACTGGGCGCCCATTTTTATATCTATGTCTCTGTTCAGACTGTACTGATTCACCCCTTCTACGCACACATGGCCTGGAGAGTGTTTCTAAAGGGCAGGTGAGAAGAAGGAGCACACTCTGGTTTCCTCTCGGGGGCATCATAACTACCTGGGGGGATGCTGCCTGCTGTCTCCACCAAGTGCCAGCCCTGGAGGTCACAAGAGGGGCACCCGGGCCAGTCCGGCACAGTTCCAACTAAACCATGTGGATACTTCTGGATGACATGGGCAGCCCCCGTGGGAGATGCCTGTGCCTGGTCTGCTCAAGTGTGCCACACGTGGGAAAGCCACACACGAGGCCACGGTGGGCAGGCCAGTGTCCCCTCTGCCAAACCTCACATAAATGACAATGCCATCACTTTGGGGCTGTAACGTCAAAACCACTGGCATGCAACTACAGTGTCACATTTTGATGCTGCAATATGTTAACGATGTTAAGCCAACTGTCCTGTCGAGCGGCGCTGACCTGGCTTCCACTCACTTCTCAAGGACAGCCTAAGGAGGCCAAAAGAGAATTCTCGTAAGACCTCACCCTGGGAGATCTGAAGACCCAGCACCAAGCACAAACTCTGGAATCCCCCTCCCCACAAGAACATCCTGGGGAGCGCACAAAAGGAGTCCAGCGCGTGTGTACGTGTGCACGTCGATGTGTGTGTGTTTATGATGGCTCCCTGGGCCCTTTCCAGGACTGACCACCACCATCAGTGCAACGGCCCCAGCTCTAGGCTTTGTCTGGTCCTCGTGAGGGTCTCAGTGCAGCTGCCAGCCCACTCTGCTCCAGTTCTGCGATGACGGACATGTATTTGAACTCGCTGGGTCGCAGGTTAAAGGTCTCTACCAAGCCATAAGTCTCCTGGCGGTCAGTGGCATAGAAGAGCTGCACCTGGTTGGCGATGCACTGAGCCTCAGGGATTTTCTGAAAGGGAAGGGCACACGGTCAAGGCCTTCCCCCCTGGCCGCAGCACCCCCGCCCTGGAAGGACCCTCAGTGGATGGGCCTGCCCTTGGAAGCCCTTTCTAGACTACTGCCTCAGCCTTTGGGAATGGGCTCCCCCTTGTCCTGGGAGAGACCCAAGATGGATGTGACAGTCAGGGATGCAAAGAGGAGCTTGTCATCTTTTAAGAGATGCATGAAAGAGACATGGGCAGGGGTGGTTTGATAGGAATCCTAACCCAAATTCCACCCAGCGTCAACATGCACAACAGAGACAATGAGCACGGTGAGCAGGAAGGAGAAAGAAGCGATCCTGGCAGGCGTCCTAGAAGAGGTGACGCTATACAAGGGACCTGAAGGCAGGGCTAGCCTGAGGCAAACACCAGGCGGGGGCTGCACATGTGGTCTGACTTCTGGGGGGCCAGAGAAGCTCTCCTTCTCCCTGCCCTACACCAGTGCCAGCCCATGAGCCTAGAGCTGCTGATGTTAGAGACGGGTTAATTCACGTTGGGCATGGCACCCTTCCTACTGTTTTTATTTTAAAACACTGGTCTCCTGGGAAGGAGATGAATGGGGTATGGTGGAGCAAGTGATGAGTCTGCAGGAGGTCCTGGGTTCAAGTGCCACCTCTGTCAGTCGTCTGTGTGATTTTGGGCAAGTCACTTGGGCCACTCTGTGTCTGGGTCCCTTTCAGTGATGTGTCTACGATCCTTCTGTGATGAGTATGTGGAGGGCCTCCCCCCACCCCCCGTGGCCCCAGCACCTCACACTAGGTACTCTCAGGGCAGGCAGAGGTTCCCAGAGGACAACCACCTCACAAACCCCCTCAGGGCCCTGTAGCAGGGGAAATCTATGCCCCCATGCACCACGTTAGCTCCCGGGCCCCCACCAATGTGCCTCCAGGTAAAGACCCAGTGACTCACAATGATGGATAGTAAGCATGACTACTTCCCAGCAATAAGGCAAAAAAAATAACAACATTACAGGCACCCATATTTTTAAAAAGTGCAAGAAGGGGCAGCTAGGTGGTATAGTGTGCAGAGCATCGGCCCTGGAGTCAGGAGGATGTGAGTTCAAATCTGGCCTCAGACACTTACATACTGTGTGACCCTGTGCAAGTCACTTAACTGTGATTGCCTCTAAAAAAAAATGAAATTTTTTTAAAAAGTGCATGAATAATAAAATATCACAATCCCCACATAAACTCTGACTCAGTCTCTGTGAGGGGGAGAATGGTACACATACAGAACCTGCCAAGGAGAGAAAGAGTGAGGAAAATCCATGTGCTCTGAGTAATTCACACACAGCACTATAAACCTCTTTCTGACTCAAGCCCTGTCCACAGGGGTGAGTGAAGCCCAGTCAGCGCGCACGCGCGCACACACACACACACACACGCTGGGCTTGACTAACCCTGCTCATAATCAGACCCACTGGGTGACTCCTGAAATCAGTCCTTGACAGCAGCTGTAATAGGCATCACTTCCATCTTCACACTCAGGTGCCTGGCTTCCCAATTCTACCCTTGCACCTCTCTTATTCCTCTTATCTTTTGGGTCTCTGCAACCAACCCCATCTCAGCTTACTGTCTGGAACAGAAATTCCATCTTCTGCCCAGAACCAGACAAAGAGCATCTGGCCCTTAATCACAAGCCAGGTCTCACACTACAGCTTGTCCCTTTCAGAATCAGCCACAGCTGCCCCAGAGCTGAGTACATCTAACTCCGTGGGAAAGGCCAGCGCCTTGGAGGGAGTGCACGCCACAGCCAACCATCAGCATCCCCTGGACTTGGAGCTGGAAGAGAGCATTTGTTTCACCAGTGGAAACTGAGGCCTCAGGAGACGAAGGAGCCTGTCCGGCATCATTCGGGGAGTCAGCAGCATGGCTGGCACCCACATCTAAGGCTCTGACTCCAAATCCAGGGCTTTCTCAGAGCAGGATAAATAGCTGGCTGACATTACGGAGGACTTTTTGGTTGTTTAAGGAATTTCAGACTCCCAAGAATCATCACGATAAGGCTGAGCCAACCCTAAAACAAAGATGCCATGTCCCTCCGGTCGCTTGCCTAGCCTGCTATCATGTACCAACGCCCAAGGATTTGATATTTGTCAGAAGTATTCATGAAACACCAGCTGAGCCAATTTGCCTCAGTTTCCCCCACTGCTTCATTCTACTGGACTCAATATCACATGCCGTGGTAGTTAAGGTCACATAAACTGTATGGAAATCTATGAAATATCACTAGAGGCTGTGGAGCCCAATCTTGCTCTATTATCATTAGCTCCAGAAATTCAGCTTATTAAGAAACGCAAAGAAATACCAGCACATGGATTAATGTAACTTCTACAGATGGAGATGACGTTGGAGTTGACCCAGAGGGTCCTAAAACAGAGGCCCACCCTAGGCTGGTCATTTAATAGTGACCTCAGTTTTGTCTGTAAAATGGAGGTCACAGCACCTACTCACAGGAGCATGATGTGGGAAGAGAGGCTGGGCTGGGGTCAGAGGGCCTTAGCTCAGACCCCAGCCTTGCCCTTGTTCGCTAGGAGACCTTGGGCAAGTCACTGAATAGCTTCCCCCTGCCCTCAGTTTCCTCATCTCTAAAGTAAGTGGACTGGATCAGATGCCCTCCTGCCCCCTTCCTACTCGAAGCTGGTGTTCCTCAGTGGCTGCTTGTGAAGAACAAATGGGACGTTTGTAGAAGCACCTTCAAACCTGACAGAAATGCCCCTATCGTTATCTGCTCCCCAGGTACCGGGCAGCTCTGCTCAGAGGACACACTAGTCTCCTAATGTGTGGGCTCTGGGCTCCTACAGTCGTAACTGAACACTTAAAAGGAGCGTCTGCCTTGCACACCATCTGTCAAATGAGTGGTGTGTCCCAGGGCGGGTGTGATCAACTGCACCACTGAAGCCTCGGCCTCTGTCTGCAGCCCATCCACACGCAGGCAGGAACCTTGGCGAGCGTCTTGCCTAAAGCCACCTTGGGAGGCCCACCAGGTCCGGGGCTGCCTGACCAAGGTTCCATGGGCCCCCGATTCCTTGAGCAGCACAGGACCGCTGCTTTGGGGAGTGCAGCCTAACCACACTGGGCTTGGTTGTCCTTGCCTGTCCAAAGCTCGTCCAGTGACTGGGAGGTGGAAGAATCTCCTTCTTCCCTCTTCTTCAGCTTCAGGCCTGGGACCCCCATCCCCTTTGGGGGGGGGGTGTCATTTAAACCCACAGTCATTCTAGAACCATGGTAGAAAGGGACTCTTGTTGCTGCCTTCTTGGAGGGCTGTCCTGAGGGCTGTCATTCCAGGATCTCATGCTGTCAGTGCTCTCCTCTGGTCTGGATATTCCTCTGCAGGCTGGGCTAGAAGCTGGCACCAAGGCCCTGCTCTGCCCGAGGCCTTGGCCTCCTCCTCCTCACTGCTGCTGCTGCCTCTGACCATCCTCCTCCCTCCACGCACTGCCTTGTGTGTCTGCTTCTCACTACCCTTGGCCTGTGTTGGAGCTGCGCCCCAGAGCTGGGCAGTGGCCGGCGAGGCTGCCGGCTGGCATCCGTACAGATCTGGGACCCTGTTTCATGCTGGGCACTGGAGCATTCTGCCCACTTGGGCTGGGAAAGGACTCCCTGAGATTTTTTTCCCTACTCTCCCCACCACCACTTGGTTTGCTGTGTTTTCCACATCTGTCTGGAGAGCTCTGGGGGTGTGCTCACTGCACTTCTTCTGCTGCTCTGCCTCCACCAGGCCTGGCTTTCCACAGGGTTCGTGGGAGTTGTCTCACCTTGTCTGGCCTGCTCTCCCTCCTCTGCTCCGCCTCCCGGCTGCCTTCAGGTCCCCCCTCCTACAGGAAGCCTTTCCCATCCCCCTTACGGCCAAGGCCAACCCTCTGTGATCACCTCCAGTTTAGCCTGTCTATGGCTTGTTTGTGCCCAGCTGTTCCAACGCTGTCTTCCCTGAAGGAGGGCGGGGACCAGCTCTTCTCTTACTTTGTACCCCAGTGCTTGGCCTAGGGCCTGGGGTCAGTGATGCTCCCTGACTGGTGGGCCCAGCTGCATCTTACCAGAAAAGTGGAGTCCATTTCTGCTGTCATGAGCACGATGCCCTTCTCCTCCTTGAGCTCGGGGAAGTGGTATAGAACGAGCTGGCTCGACGCTGCCTCCCCTCGAGTCTGCAAAGGAGAGTGGTACAACTCAGGGTCACCCTGATACCGCCAGCCCTGGATGCGTGGGACATCCCAAAATGCTGGCCCTTGTTCCGTGACCCGTGGGAGCCGACAGGACAGAGGCCTGGGCCTCAGCAGAGATAGGCCCAATGGCTGTCTGTGTTGGCTTCTTCACAGGTCACTTACAAGAAACAGTTTTCCAAAGAAAAGCCACAAGTGCCATTCATGCAAGGGGGAAGGGAGTTCTGGGGGGGCAGCGGGGTGACCCTGGGGGTGGGGAGGATGCTATGGGCGCACTGTCCTTGACACCGTGAGTGTGGCATCCATTTAATAGGCCTGTAAGTGCCTGCCAGGGGCCAGGCATTGTGGCTATAGTGCCAAAACCCCCCAAAGAGCCTCTGCCTTCAAGAGGGTTCTATATTCTATTGAGAAAAAGGGAATAGATTTAAAGTGACTACTTGAGGCTGGCCATGGCCTGTGGGAAGTCTCTGGGAGAGGGGAAGGTTGGGGGCAGATGACAGACCAGCCTGGCTGTGGACTGGCTGAGGGCAGTGGTCCGAGCTGGCAGAGTTGCTGGAGCCGAAGGGACTGGAGGCTGGGGGAAGATGAGATCGGCCATCCAGAGGAGGGGGGAGGTGGGCAGCCATGGCCCAGGAGTGGACTCGGGGAAGGAGACCCAAAGCTGAGCATGAGAAGGAGCTTTCCTAGCACTGTTTTCAAAACTGTGGCTATCCAGCTCCAACTTCGGTAAAATCCTTTAAATTGTGAATGAGAAAACAGCTAGCCTGGGCAGGCATGGCCACCCTCCCCTGGGCTCTCTCAGTCCACTCCTTGCCCTCAGGTGCTTGGACTATGGAGTTCCATTTAATTCAGTAATTCAATAACCACAACATCAACAATGTATGGTAATATTATTATATGTAACATAATACATTGATACTAATAATGATGGTGCACATTTTGCAGGGCTATAAGGTTATGAACCAAAAACCTAGAGAGGGAGCTAAAGAAAGGGCTTTTACTCCAATTGTACAGAAAAGGAAGCTGAGACTCAAAACGATCAAGGTACCTGCTTAGGGTGGGCATGTGGATCTGAACCCAGGCCTCTCCTGGCTGTTTCCCCTTCCTGGCTCTGTGACTGTGGGCTGCTAAGCCTCAGTTTCCTCACACGGGCACTAACTACCTCCTGGGGGCTGCTCTAAGGAAAGCTTCATAGTGATTTCACTCTTCTCTCCCAAAGCCTTCGAGGCAGCTTGTACCCGGGAAAGGAAGCGGCTGGGAAATGGGTAGGCTGGACTGAATAATGATAAGTAGAAGGCTAAGTCCTGGCTCTTAAGAAGCCACGTGCAGAGAAGGAAAGAAGAAAAATGCAGAAAGGAATGTAACACTCAGGAGATCGGGACCAGGGGCATGAGGGAAGGAGGAGATGCTCAGGGGCTTCAGAGGGGGAGATCCCCTGCAGCTGGGAGTATCAGGAGACCTGCCTTCAAGCTCACCCCAGCAGCCTGCACTAGTGGCCAGCCCAGTCCAAGATCTGAAAGCTGTGCTGAGCCCTGCAAGGCCCCCAGTGGGTTAAATACAGTGCACCCACTCTGGGACAACAACAAGAAAGATACGTATGACCGTCTCTGCGCTCCTGCTGTCCGGCAGGAGCCGGGGGATGGCTCAGAGCGGTCCCCAGGCTGGGGTCTGGGAAACATCTGTGGTTATAAACCACAAAACATAAACAAATAACTAATAACCAAGGTCACTGATGCCCAGAGCCTCAGGAGAAGTGCTATCCAAAGCACTGTGAGCACCCAGAAGACACCCCGGGGGCACCGGGGTCAGGGAAGGCCCCTGAAGGAGGTGAACATTTGACACAACGACTCCCTCTCTAGCATGAGAGCGAGGGCCCTGGGGCTGCTTCTAACCCCTGCACCTTACTTCCTATTTTGGGGGGACAAAGACCCACTGGCCTCTGACTCCAACCAAGAACAAAGCCCGCCCCTCTCGGCTGGGAGCCCTGCTGTGTCGCTCACCCACCTGGATGTTTATGAGGGCAGTGAAGTGGAGCTCGAACCCTGACCACTGTCCCACAAAGAACTCGTAACCTGCCCTCCTTGGGAGTGCACACAGGAACTGCAGGAAGGAAACAGAGGGGGTGGGGGTAGGGTGGGGGGTGAGGCAACCGGCAAAGACCTCCCAAGTGCTGCCAGGGCCTCAGGGGCCAGGAGGACACAAACATCCCCCCCAAATACCAATCAGAACTAACACGTAAACACTGGCTTCAGGGATGGCGACTAGACCTCATAGGAATGTTATTTGTTATTGTTATTAGGAACGCGCCGAGAGGAAACCCCTGGGCCAGGCTGTGCGGCTCCTTCTGGATCCGCCTCCTCCAGGTCACACCCCCCCTCCGTTCGTAGGGGGTCCCTCAGGGCTCAGCGCTGGGACCCTTCTCTTCTCCCTCTATACTTCGTCACTTGGTGACTCGTCAGCTCCCAAGGATTTCCTGACCATCTCCACGCTGGGGATTCTCAGACCTACCTCTCTGCTGCCTATCAGACATCCCAAACTGGATGGCCCAGCAGGCATCTGACACGTGACACATCCCAAACAGAAATCATGATTTCTCTCCGTCCCCAGGCCCTAACCTAGGTGGCATTCTCCACTCCTCACCCTCTCATTGCCCCACATCCAAACTGCCGCTAAGCCTGGTGATTCCACCTTCACGACAATCCTCCCGAATGACCCTCCTCTCCTCTGGCCCTGCCCATCCTGGTGCAGACCCTCATCGCTTTACCCCTGAAGTTCTGTTGGTGGGCCTGACGCTGCCGATTCTCCTCTGGTTCCAGACCACCTTCCACTCAATGGTGAAAATGACTTTCCTCAAGCAGAGGTCTGAGCACGGCCTCCCTCTTCTGGGTACGCTGCTGGGGTTCCCCATCACCTCCAGCACCAACTACAAAGCTCTCTGGCATTCACTCCCACCCCTCCAGAGGTATCAGCCTCTCTGTGGCTGCTCTGTCTCCCAACTCCCAGCCTTTGCCCTGGCTGTGCCCAATGCCTGGAATGCTCTTCCTCCTCACCTCTGCCCTTGGCTTCCTTCTGTAGATAATCTCCACTCTAGCTCGTCTAAAGCTTGCTGGCACAGGTGTTTGTATGCTTTCTCGCCCATCAGACTGTGAGCTCCTGGAGGGCAGGGGGTCTTTTACCTTCCTTTTATCCTAGCATTTAGCCCAGCATGGGGCACATAGTACGTGCTTCATGTTTACTGACTGAGCACCTGAGGCAGAGCTTGCACCAGGTCTCCTTGATTCAAAGCTGGCTCTCTGTCCTCTCCATTACACTGCCTCTCCAGTCCAGCTTAGAGGCTGATGAAAAGCTTGGTGCCTTTAGGGAAAGGCTTTTCCACTTCTGTGGGATTCACCCAAATGAATGTTTTATGGCTTAGACCTCTAAGGGCAAGTGGTTGAGTCGGTCAACTGGCCCTGGTTCCTGAGCAGTCCAAACCGCCCCTCCCCACCCCCTGCCCCCAATGCTGCGGCATCTCTGCCCATACAGGACAGGATGGAGAACCCAGTAGCTGGCCGGGCAGTTAAGGCCACAGCCCCCTCCCTCCCAGTGTGCAGATGAACTTACAGATGGACAATTCTGGGCCCGGCTCCAGATCAAGTCAAACTTCTCTGCCTGCAGGGTAGAAACGAGAAAAAACTGACTCATGAGCGAAGGAAAAATCACACCTTTCTGCCGTGAAGTCACCACCTATGACTCTCGACTTGCACGTTCCTAAGAATGAGCTCCCAAGCACCAACACCAGACAGACAGAGGAGAGGAGAAGCAAGACAAGCCAACACAGTATTGTGATGCTCGGCCCTCTGGGGGCTCAGGCTCGCCCCAGAACTCTGGCCCCCGCCAGAGCGACAAGCATGTACTTGGGCAATAGGAGGCCATATGTGGAGTGAAACCTCCCCCTCCCCTCACTGCTCCTTGCTCTGCCCCCGAGGCCAAGCTGGCTGATAATCCTTCAAACACAATCTCCCTCCTGGGTCTTCTCTTCCTTGCCCAGATGTTCCCAGGTGCTGCAGAGGGCACGAGCATCCCAGCTTCCATCAAGCCCCAGAGGAGGTCTGACCGGGCTCTTTCTTACGGCAGCCCATGATTGCCTAATCTTTCCTGGTTGTCACGGCACACTGTGGACTCATTTAGTGGGCAGTCTCCTAAGACCCAGAGCATCTCCAGACAAACCGCACTCAGACACGCTCTCCCATCCCACGCTTGTGGGAGTCTCGTTCCCATGTGTAAGATTCTACATTTCTCACTTCCTCAATGTTACATGAGGTTCCTCTCAATGTTCTAGCTGGGCAACAAGGTTCTGAATGCTAATTAGCACCCAGCCTGCTGGCTACTCCTACCAGCTCTGAGTCACTGGCAAAATGGAGAAGTGGGCAAGCCCTATATCTCAGGCCTCTCTACCTCAAGACCCAATGATCCCAAGACTCCCTGGCTCTATCTGTTTTGGTGGCCTGTCAGAAACAGCATCTTCCAACAGCAAACCAAGGAGCAATAAGATAGTTGGGAAATGCCTCCGCAGCGTTGGCCTACTACTAAGGAGTCGACACAAGGAAATGTCTCTGAGGGAAGGGAAGGACAAAGAAGAGCCACGAATGCCAGACAGAGTGAGGAGTGTGCTCGGCTCCATAGAAGCATGAAATCTCCCCCTGGAGAATGTGGGCTCTCCAGAGAGATGGGGCGCAGACATGGGAAAGGCAGCCCACCTCCAGAGCCCGGGGCCAGCTGTCACACTGCTCACACCTCCTCCTTCCTCCCAAATAACTTACAGGGATAACAGCGTAGATGGTATCTTTTGTTGCGAAATACTGCTGCCAAATCTGGTGAGAGATGAGAAAGACCAGTGTGAGGTCACAGGGGGCCCAAGGGTAATCCCTGTCAGACAGACGCCCCCAAGAACCCAAGTCAGACCTCTCAATAACGGTCACAGTTTAGAATCGGGTGCCCTGTACCACGGGGAAAGACAATTTCCACAATTACATTTTTATGATGAACACTGCCACTGGCCCTCAGGGAAGAAGGGGGGACAAGCTGGTCTCCAACAGGACACCCTCTTGGGTAGAACATCCCCAGCAGAGCCTCGCTCCAGGGGGCAGCACTCTGAAGGCCACCACTGGCATTCAGATCTGGCAAGACCACCTCCTCTAGACCCTCACTCCCAAGAACAGCATCAGTGGCATGCTGGGTAAGATCGCCGGTGCCCCCAGGTCAGAGTCTTGTCTTGAATGGGGCACCGAGGGATGCCCAAAGGTCTGGAGGAGAACGGGATTGCACTGCACATCCACGTGGACTGTGCAAAGTTGGGGTGGAAAGGAAAACATGATATAGGGGGACGAGCACTGGACTTGGGTTTGAATCCTGCCTCTGACAGCTGTGGGACCCTGGGCAAGTCACTGTTGGCCTTTCTAGGCCTGCTTTCTCATCTGTGGAACGGGCACAATCCTAACTAAAGTGGCCGTGGCTCCTAGTCCACCACCTGACAGCCTCTGGATGGGGGTGGGGATCAGAAGAGGTGAAGGATAGGCACTGCCCGGCGTTTCAGGTGCTAAAGCTGCCGGACAAGTCCAGACCCCATGAACTAGGCCAGATGCTCCCGGAACTCTCCAGGCCTCGTGTCCCTCCCTGGGACGGACGGCTTCCCTTCTCTTTGTCCTCTGCTCTTTTCTTAAGCTTAACCAGCTGATGCAACAGCCGGCGGCGAACGAGCCTGCTCTCGGCCTTCATGATGTCACAGGCCGCGATTGTCTTCCCAGGAACAGAGCTGACCGGGCACATGTGACCACAGGCATGTCCTCTCCGTGTCCGGGCCTTGGGCCCTAGCTCCAGTGGGCTCACTGCCCTGCTGTCTCATCTGGCCACACTGAAGATGCATCCAATTCCCCCCACGAGCTAAGCAGTACAAGTGGAGGCCCTTGAGGTTCTGAAGCAGGCGTGGGACAAGATGGAAGCGGGGTCTCTCGGAGGTTTCCTGGGCCTACAGCTATGACAGGTAGGGCTGGGAATAGGGAGAGCAGCTGGGAGCCTGCCACAGTCCATGCTAAGGTGCTGGGAGGGAGAACAAAATGCAAAGACAGGATGCAGGACTCAGAGCAGCTGGTGTGGGGCTGCCTTCAGAGGACCTGGGGACCCGATCCGAAAGTGCCCAGCCCACGGGAGCCGCGCCCCGCCTCAGCAGCACCAAAGGCCCTTCCCTTCCTGGCCTTCTGAGCGGGGGCACAGAGCACTCACTCTCAGGGCTCGCCTGGGAGCAGCAGCACCGCTCACCCCAAGGAAGGAGAGGGGAATACACTACCTGCTGGATCTCTTCTCCACTTTTATCTTTCACCATCTCGAGGTTGAAGATTGAGCTGAGAGTCTGCAATGGGAAACGAGGGTGGTGAGAAGAAACGTCCTGCTGCAGCTGCAGCCTCTGGGAGGTGAGGGAAGAGGAGGGGCTGCCTGGGGGCAGGCAAAGGTGCTCCAGGCTAGGGGATGGGAGTCTCACACACGGCTGTTCATTTCCCAAATTCATCCCTGCCTCACAAACATCCCTGGGGGGAAGGAGCTGCTTTGAGTTCTGCTGATACCAAGGAAGCCCTGGCTCTTGCATTCAGACTGTGTTTCTCCACTCTCCAAAGGCCCCGGGCCTCCTAAGGATGGCCCCGAGTGGAGAACAGCGCCTGCTCCTCCCAGTCCCACAAGTCAGGTCCGGTCCCTTCACTGGCTCTCCTCCAGTCCTCTGGGGTTCAGTCCTAGACCGTCCTGGGAGCGAGATGTTTAAGTCAATGAAGACAGATTCCAGCCTCCTCAAGCCTGAGAAGGCCGATGCTCCCAGCAATACTCTCATTCACGGACACACAGACTGGCAGCGCTAGAAGGGACATCCAGGCCAGAGTTCTTTGCCTTTTGTGTGCATGTCATGGACCCCTCTGGGGAAGCCTATGGACCCCTTCTCAGACAAATGCTTAAAAAAATCATAACTGAAGTAAGCACTACATTTTGGTTAGAAGTGAAAACAAAGGTATTCACAGACATTCTGAGATTTGTCCACAGACCCACAAACCCCAGGTTAATAACCCTTCATTGTTTTACAGATGAGGATATTAAGGCACAGAGGGAGAAAGCATTTTCCCAGTCCCATGGCTACAGCCAGGCCTCTGGTCTGCTTCTGAGCCAGCAGAAACATCGGGAGCCTTGGTGCAAACTCTCCTGGCTCCATGTGCAGCCACGTGACCGATCAGCGACTCAAGCCCTCTGTACCCTCAGGTTCTACATGATAAAGTAGAAATAACAGCACTGGCTCTTCCTCCCTCACAGGGAGGCTAGCAGCTGGCTGGCATACAAAGAGATGAAACATCACCATCGTCCTCAATGGAAGTCTCTGAGGCTGCACGGATCCCTGGCCTTTACCAGCCGTGTGTCCAGCTGCCAAGCACTGAGCCTGTCACAACTCGCAGAGTGACCTCCTAAGGCAGGGACGTCAGCAACCTGGGCTGTGGAAGGAGATGCCCCCCCAAATCCCGGGTCCCCGACCCTACCTTGCCTTTAGTGAATCCTCTCTTCGAAGACTGTTTCCCCAGGGCATCCGTCTGAAAGAAATAAGTTAATTGGTCTCTGCTTTGCAGGAGGGAAAGGGAACAGAGTCAGGTAAGCTACCTGCGGCCAGCTCTGAACTTTTAGGCAAGTGGACATGTCCAGCCTCTCTCTCCCTCACCAAATCTGCCTTCTTCATTCTGCTTAGAACACCCATTCCAACCTCTGAGACTTTCCCTGATCAACTTTCTTGGTAAGCAGCTGCCTTTGGGAGGCGACAGCCTCGAGCAGAAAGAAGGGCAGGGACTAGACCAGCCACCTGTCCTTAGGAACAACGACCACGCAAGCCTGCTCCGCTCTGGCCCGCCCTCGGCTGGGCTCCACTGTGAGACACCAGACAGGATGAATCGGAACTCCACGGTGCGCTTCCTGGACGAAGGGGGAGGGGGCGGTGAGGGACTAAAAGGCGGACTACGTGCAGGGGACAGAGAGGTCTGGCTTGGCTGGGGGAAGTGGGGGGTGGGGCACGAGATGAAGCAGGCTCTGGAAACGAGCCACACAGGAGCCCAGATCTCTGCCAAGTGAGGAGTCCAAAAGGAAGGGCCAGCCCACAGGCTGAACAGGGCACCCGGGCCTGCCCTGGCTTGGGGGACCCCCCTTTCCATGTCGTCTTCATATGTGCAGAAGCTCAGAGTTCACTGTATCCCAGGCCTAGAGCTGGAAGCAAATGCTCAGGGAGGGAGGCAGCCTGGCTCACTGCAGAGCCACACCCCTGCTGGGAGATGCTCCAGGTCACATCAGGGAGGGCCTGCTGGTGAGGGCTTCACCGCTCGCTCAGCTGCACCCAGGCCCCCTGACATCAGTGCCCCACCCTCCTTGGAGGTCCCTTTCCTGGCAGGTGGCACTGACTGTTGTGCCCTGCTCCCCTGCCTGGCCCCAGACATCAGATATGAGCACTGAGCCCTGCCAGAGCCCCCCGGGGGCACCCTCAGGGCCAGGCTGTCAGGCGGGGGCTGCATCAGCTGCAGCAAAGCTCTCTTGCCTGCTGCTCCACACACTTGATAAAGTCGGCTTGCTTGGAGTGTCCTACCGGCCGCTTCCGCAGCTCATCCCGCTTCTCCAGGCGGGACTCGAAGGCAGCGGGATCAGACCTGCAGGATGGTGAGGAAGATGAGGGCTCAGGACAGGGGACTTTGCTATTTCACCCTTTCTCATGTCCAGAGAGATGAGACTAAGGAGGGGCAGCATGGTGGAGATGAGGACCTCCAACAGGATCCCTCCCAGCCCACAATGACCTGGTTATCGACTTTGTATGAGAGGCAGCACAGCTCAGGAACAGTAAGGGGGCTCAGTGGAAAGAACCCTGAGCCTGGACTAGGAAAGACCTGAGTTCAAATTCAGCCTCAGATACTTCCTAGCTGTGTGACCCTGGGCAAGTCATTTAGCCACAGTCTGCCTCAGTTTCCTCAAATGTAAAATGGGGATAATCACAGCACCAACCCCACAGGGCTGTTTTGAAGATCAAGTGAGATATTTGTAAAGAGCCTGGCAAGAAGTCCTTAATAAATCCTTCTTTCCTTCCTTCCCAGGGGGGCACAGAGTTGGCTTCCAAGCCAGGAAGATCTGGGTTCAAGACTTCCTGACTATGGGACCTCTGAGGACTAGGACTTAAGTATCTGTCTGCTGGGCTGCAAGAATCTTCTTGTTAGGGGGTTCTCTCCCCGAGGGGTCAAACACTGGGCCAACCATGAACAAAATACATAAAACCACACCCACCCACAGGGACCCTCGAGGCCCAGGCCCGCCTTGTGGACAGCTCTGTTTGACTAGGACCCCCAGCATCCACATATGCCCGACAAAGAGGAGGCCCGGGAAAATGTTCTTGGTGATTGAGAAACAGAAATAAACAGAAATCCCATATTTTATGTCCCAAGTCCTGAGGGGGTCTGGCCATGAGGGATGCTTGGAATGGTGGAATGTCAGGGTTGGACACGATGCCAGGGCAAAGTCTCCAAGGAAGAGAAAGAAAGGAGAAGCTAGTCTCCAACCCCAGACAGCCAGTCCATCAGCATTTATTAAATACCAACTATATGCCAGTCCTTGTGAGGCTATAAGGACACTGGTTTCTGACCTATGTCAGTCAGCCAGTCAGCATTTATTAAGTACTGACTATGTACCTGGCACCATGAGGCTGTAAGGCCATTGGATTCTGACCCGAGTCATTCATCCAGCATTTATTAATCGCCGACTATATACCTGGCACCCTGAGGCTATACAGACACTGGATTCTGACCCAAGGCTAAAAACGAGACTGGGGCCTGGGTGTCTTCAGAAGGATCAAAGACGTAGAGCTGGAAGGGGCTCAGGGGCCATCCAACCTCACTTTACAGATGAGTAAACTGAGGCCCAGGGAGCTGCCGGGCACTTTTCTACTCCAACTCGAGGTGCACGAGGTGAAGGGGCTCCCCGCCCCAAGGGTGTCAGGGAAAGGCTGGAGTCCGAGCCCCAGTAACAACAGCTTCTGAAAACGATCCGGGGAAAATGGGGCTAGGGACCAGCGGTGCTGTTATTCCCATTCTGCAGCTGAGGAGACTGAGTCTCAGCGGCAGCCACAGGATTCTACCACATCGCGGCTTCCGAGCCGCACTCTACCCACCGCGCAGGCGCAAAGTCTAATGCCAGTATCCCCGTCGCGTCTGCGCAGTTTCGAGACCTTGTCCCAGTAGTCTATGGGAGGGGCTCCTATGCTTCCTAGCCCCACCCCTGCCCCTCAGCACCTGCGCAGTCAGTAGGAGACTGCCTTTCCGCCCCTGCCCCGCCCCATGGCACCTGCGCAGTGGCAGAATCTGGTCCCTACACCAGTTAGAGGGAGGAGCTCCTCTTCCTCCTTGCCCCGCCCCGTCCCTCCGCACCTGCGCAGTTGCTGGATCTTTTCCCGGTACTTGTCATAGTAGGGGTTGCTCTCCAGCTCGGCCTCGCTGCTCCCGGCGCCACGGCGCACGGAGAAAAGCCGCAGCTGCTCGGTCCCCACAAGCCCCAGGCCGAGGCCCGGGCCCAGAGCGCGACTGCGCACGGCGCACAGGCCCCGGTAGAGGCCAGCCACCTGCAGCACGGCTGGGCCCGCGCCCCCCGCCGCCATGGCCGCTATGGGCGCCGCCATAGCTTCTTCCACCTCGCACTCCACCTCTGCACCCGCCCCCACTGTTGCTTCCGCCGCCGCCGCTTCCGCCGCAGCCGTCCCGTGCCCCTCCATCCCCCTCCCCCGACGCCGCCGCTTCCGCCCCCGCGCCCAAGGTTCCGCTGCAGCAACGTTCCTGTCCAACGCGCGGGGCCTCTTCTGCGCAGCCTCGAGAGGGGAGGGGCCTTCCGGGATGCTTCCAACCTGGAGGGGAGGGGAGGAGGTGGGGGGCACCTGTAGAATTCGAGCTCAGGGCCGTCTCCCAGCTCCTAACGAGTCTTTGTTTGAATACCGCCTCGAATGGGAGTACTCACTGGGTATCGAGGCAACCCATTCCTTTTGGGATGTAGGCCAATCCTAAATTTGCCTCACAGCGGTCTGCCCAGTTGGGGAGTGCGAGGACCTGGGTTTGAATCCTGCCCCGACCTTCTGAGAGTGACCTTGGGTTCCACCTCTTCTGAGCCTGCGTTTCTTTATTTATGAACCGTAGGGGTTGAACTGAATCAGCAAGCATTTATTAAGCACTTACCGTGTCAGGCACTGCAGGAAGCACTGGGGTTTCAAAGAAGGTCCAAAACAAGGTCCCTGCCTTCAAGGAGCTCACAGTCTGATGTGGGGGGGGACCCCATGTAAATAACTGCATACAAGATAGAGGCAGAGTAGGGGAAAGGAAGGAAATACGCATCATTTATACAGCACCTGCTGTATGCTTAGAGCTTTTCACAAATATTTGATCCTCCAAACACCCATTTGAGGGAGGGGCTATTATTACAATGCCCACTTTATAGCTGAGGAAACTGAGGCAAACAGAGGTTCTGTGTTAACCTCTTAACACTTAACTGCGGGAAAGAAGCAAGTCCCAGGGTGAAAACGGCTAGTAAGCGTCAGAAGCCAAATGTGACCTCTGGTCTGGATTCCAGGCCCAGAGCACTATGTTGGGGGAAGTCACTAGCAGGTGGGAGGACCCTTCCGGCTCTCAATCTTTGGTCCTATGCTTTAGTAGAACGTCCCACCCAGAGCCTCTTCCAAACAAGACCTGGAGTGAGGGGTGGCCTCGCCCGCCCAAGATGAAGATCCCCATGCCTACTGGAAGGGCGCAGGACCGTGTAGTGTACTGCTGCTTAATCTGCATATTCCCCTTTTCTCTTGTGAATATCAACTAAACAAACCAAACCCTTCTGAGCCTGGAGTTTGTGGGTAGAGGGGTGAGGAGGCCCAGGGAAGGGAAAGGGGGATCCCAGGCTGGGTTTGATGGAAGAATAAGGATGGTGAAAACACTAAGAGAACAGAACATCTGGAGCCAAGGCAAGCCGATCTCTGAACCCAGAGCACCTGCGCTGGCTCCGAGGTCAGTGCTTGGCCGCAGGGGTCAAAATCCAAAGGTTTTAGAAATGAGTTGGGCCATAGGCAGAGGCCCTCGGGGCTGGTTCCAAGGAGGAGCTGATTCGTAGAGGTCCCCAGCTAGGATCGTCAATGACAACAGATTGAAATCTCAAAAGAGATTTTAAAGGAACCTTCCCATTTTAGGGATGAAGAAACCGAGGCTGATTTGCTCTGGATCATTTTGTTAAATGGCCAAAGAAAGTTCCCTTCCTGGTCTTCCTGACCGAGTCCCTGGAGGTTTTATCTACTGGGTGCAGATGAAGATTTTCCTTCCAGCCCTCAGGTCCCCAGTTGGATGGTGGACTCCTTTCAGCTCTATATTTCACAAGTCTAGATTCACTCTGCATTTATCAATAAAATGACATCTTCAATGCATTGCACTTGGCTGTGCTGGGTGAGTGCCCTCAGGGAACTCACAGGCTGCGTGCCTGGGGAGAGAAGGCACAGATGCCTTAAAGTGCAAGGCAGTGGGCTAGGACCTCCAGGCCCTACTGGGCTCACAAAGACAGAAGTCTCAAAGAATTTACATTCACCAATAAGGGGAAAATGACATGTATGCCAACTGTCAACAGGAAATCACGACTTCATGAAATATTTATATGTGAAAAACTGGGTTATTACAAGAGAAATGAACCCACATGTGGAACCCTATGCAAACCATGCACATCCCTTCCTTCCTTCCTTCCTTCCTTCCTTCCTTCCTTCCTTCCTTCCTTCCTTCCTTCCTTCCTTCCTTTACTTTACTCATTGAGTTATGCAGCAAATATTTTACTTGGCCTGTGATGTGCAAAGCATTGCTCTAGGGAGGCCTTGGGGGGTGGGGGCAGGGAGGAAGGGAAAGGCTAGAGAGATAAGAAGTTACCTCTCTTTCCCCAGTGGAATGCATGACCATATTATATCACAGGACCTCCAGAGGGAGTCCCAGACCTCAAGGAGGGGCTGCCCTTCCTTTTTTTGTGCCCCTGCCCCTGCCCAGGGGGTAGTGGTGGTGGTGTCTGGTGTCAGTCTCTGTCCCAGTGATAGCCTGGCCTCGAGAATGTTCAGGTTCTGGAACCTGGCAACCTTCAGGAACAATGATGCCTGGGGGTTCTGATCTTAGTTGGAGGAGGGCTGGGAAGGAGGGCTTTCCCTTGGAGAGCCTCCTGAGGCCCCCTTACCCAGCAGGGCCCAGCCTTCTGCTTATGGATCCCCGAGGGGAACGGCTGAGCATCCCTGGTGGTAGGTGGCTCTTCTCTCCTTCCCCATCTAAGCAAAGACAGCAGCAGGACAGCCTGACATGGGGACAGAGTACACGGCTGTCTGAGTGGTGGGAGTGAGGGTGGGAAGACCCCTTGTCCCCGAGATCTCTCTTCCGCCACTGGCCCTTGTCTCTACCTTGGCCCCTGGGGCTCCCTGAGGGGTCAAGTCGGTTGATTTCTCACCAAGTGGCCTGGGACCAGAGCCATGTACAACTCACCCGGCCTCCCTCTTGGTCCCTGGGAGGGAGCTTACTGGGAAGGAGGAGGGAGGCATGCCGGTGGTCGGGTGGGGGGCATGCTCCCACCTGGTTTCCAGTTAACGCTAGCCCTGTTATCTCCTCTCCCAAGTCTGGCTCCCACTATACTTTGGGGTCTTGGGGCTGTGCTCTGTGGTTACCGGCGGCTGCATGGTCTTTCTCCACTGGAGGAAGAAGGTTCGCAGGGAACAGCAGGCCCAGGAGTGGGTGGAGGTGATGCAGGCCGCCACCTTCACCTACAGCCCCGTCCTCTACTGGATCAACAAACGTCGGCAATACGGCATGAACACCGGGGTCAAAGTGGACCTCCCAGCGGCCAAACCCAAGCCAGAGGCCCCCAAGCCCCTGACTAGCCACCAGGAGGGAAGGAGCGAAGCCTCGGCAGCCAGATTCTTCACGTCCCCGGCCTCTGCCCCACCCCTGGCCTGTTGCCCGACCCCAGCGCCACACAACCCTATCTTCCAGGAGGTGGCCTCTGCCCCTTCGCTGGGCAACATGCCGCCCATGGTGAACCACTCGGCCTCTTTCCCTTTCACCGCCTGTCCTAAGAGGAGTGTCCAGTTTCACTCACTGCCAGCTCTGGCCCATCGGGACTCTCGCTTGAACCCTAAGGGCTTGGCCTATGAGCTGTAGCTTGCCTTGGTCTGATGGAAGTATGGGGAGGGCTGTGGGGCAGGGGACCAGGATGCCCCAGTGGCCCGGGGCTTGCTCTGGATTCACACCCATGCAATCATCTTTTTTCTGAAAGTTCATGGCTTCTGTCTTCTCAATCGCCTTAATTGCCCATCCCCATCCAATTCACCTCCAGCAAACAAAAGTCCGATATGAAACTTTTTAATAAATGCCAAAAAAAAAAGCCCAACCCATTGGTCTTGAGGATGGAGGGTGGGGTAGGGGCTGAATGGCCAAAACGAGCTGAGCCTGGGACCACGGCCTAGCATCTAGGCCCTAGATCGTCATTTCACTAGAGCCACAGTCTGAGACACAGGAGGCAGCATCTCTTGTCTCTGGGTGAGGGGCCACTGCAGCTACTTCCTGACAGGGTGACCAGGCAAGCCTCTTCCCCCTCTGGGCCTGTAAAGCAAGGGCCTAGGCTGGTTTCAGTCTCCAAGTTCTCTTCTGGCTCTCAGTCACATGATCCAGAGGTATTGGGATACAATGGGTCTATGCTTCTCCAAGTCACCCTGTTAACTGAGACCTACTGCCCCTCCTTCCCCCAGGAGCCAGGTACCCAGAATCATAGCAGGTGCAGACCCCCTAAGCAGGGGCCCAACTGCTCAGGTCTTCAGACTCCAAGTCAACACACCTTCTGTTCCTGGCTCTCTCACGGGGAAGCATACCCCGGCTTGAAATCCTAGCACTTAAGTTTTGAAAAATCCTTCCTTATGGCTGACTAGGAAGGAAGGAATGGAATGGGGGAGGAGGCAACTATTATTCCGCCTACTTAGCGAAAGAAGAAACAGGTTCTTTGATGGGCGATGGAAAGTGACTCACTTTGGGGGGGAACTGCCAGGAAGCATTTCAGGTGTGACCTGCCACCTTCCTGACTGTGCCCAGTGGCTCATAAACCCCTCTGGTAAGGAAGTTCAGCCTCCTCGTGCTTTGCATAAATCCGCCCTGCTGTGACCTGCCTCAAACACCTTGTTCTTGTGGAAAAGGAACACTGGATTCCGGAGTCAAAGGTTCGAATCCTAGCTCTGCTCTTGGTCATTTCTCTAGTCTGTTTTCTCATCTGTGCTATCTGTCTGGGGGAGGGAAGATGGATTCTTGTGCATGTCTGGGCTGGGCTTGTTGGCCTTGAAGCTCCCCCCTTGGAAGTTTTCTCAGGTGTGAGAAACACGACCCCCTCACATGTCCCTGTGAAATCCCCTCAATGCTCTCAGGCCTGGTTGTAGCTTGGCTTTAATTGTCCCTTCCCTTGCCCAAACTGCCCTAACTCCTCTGGCAACGTTGCAGGCCACTTCCCCATTTTTATTTTTTTAAAGAAATGGGCCTCAAGCTTCATGTGGTGACTCTCTGTTCTACCAATCCCAGCCCCACAACCTCGTCTTCCAGGAGGGGGCCTTTTCGTCTTCACTGTACAAGCTACGGTCCACTCAACAAACTTTAATCACAGACAGGGCAAAATGAGGAAATACATTTTATTTAGAGAAATTCAAACTTGTTACATGTTATTAAAGTGCAAGGCTCCTCTCGGGGATGGGGACCTAGACTATCCCAGGGGCAGGAGACATCCATTCCCCATATTGGGTGGGGGCCAAACAGCTCCAGGGACAGAGCAGATTCACCTGTCTCAAAAGCAGACAGTAACAAAGTAGATGAACGAGGGCAAGGTGGCCCATGCTCTAGGGGTGTAGCGGAGCATGCCAAAGGGGGGAGAGAGGAAGAAAGGGAGAGAGAGACAGACAGAAGAGAGAGAGGAGAAAGAGGGGAGAGAGATGGGGGAGGTCAGGCCCTGATTCAGTTTCTTGGCAGGTAGATGCTCTGACCCTGGACTGGGAGGGGTTGGCCCAGGGATGGATCACAGCCAATGAAGCAAGGCCCCCCCCCCACATCTCCCTCTGATGCCCCACCCTACCTCTCCTCTGGGCAACACTCCTGAGACTTAAGGCTGTCAGTCAACTAACTTCCTTCCCCTGAACAGGTCAGTTTATGCACAAGAACCCACCAGGCTCCCTCCTAGGGGTGGGGAACACGTGGCCCTCCAGGTCCTCAAGTGCAGCCCTTTGGCTGAATCCAAACTTCACCAAACACATGTCCTCAATAAAAGGCTGAGCCTCTTCTTGCTCGCTTTCCATGTTTGGCTCCTTGACCAAACCCTGCCCCCGGAATCAGGGAGCTGATGGCAAGAAACAAAGTCCAAGAGTTTGAGTGGGAGAGAACAGAAGGAGAGCCAGGCAGCCTTGGCTGCTTGGGGCCAGAGCAGCTAGGTGCTCCCGCCACCTGCTGCTGGGCCTGGAAAAAGCAGGGATTTGTGCCCAGGTGGCACTGCCAATTAGCATGGTGCCAGAGGGGCCCTTCAGGAAGCCAGCTAGCCTTTATCTCATTGGAGGCAGGTGACTTGACCCTGGACCTTCTGCTTGGGAGCTGGCCAGCAAAGGCAGACTCAGTACATGGCCTAGCCCGTGCCAATGGGATTCCTCCTGAGTAAGATCCTAAGACAAACCCTAAAAGAAACTGACTCTTTAACTAAGAATTAACCGAGAGCTCTCCACTGACCTATGAACAACTGCTCTGAGATTAAAAAGGGCAGCCTACATTGGCCCCTGAGCTGTGGTTCACAGAAATCAAGTTTTCAAAAAAAATTAAAACCAAACCAACAAACACTACCAGGTATAGACAAAAGCCTTATGGTACAATATATACAGATCTTAGAGTGATCAGTTTTATTGCTAGAATTTTATTTGGTTGTTGGAGAATTTATAGGGACAGGTGTATCAAACAGTTGCAGGCATGGCCAGGATGGTGGTCTCAGGCACCCAGGGGGCCTGTAAAAAAGCAGAGAAAGTCCTCCACCGGGCGATGGCGTGGTGCGCCCAGAAGGGAACGCAGGGAGAAAAGCTTTCAGTGGTGGCAGATTGGACACATTCCCAGAGGGGCATTGGCCTGCTTGTCCCTAGCTGATCTCTGCTACCTGGATGAGGTTTTTGTGACTCAAACAAGTTAAGGATCATGCCAAAGGAACAGCACATACCCAGCGGGTAAGATGCTTTACTGCAAAGCTGTGAAGGGCCCAACACCAGAACAAAGCTCATCTAAATAAAGGGGTTTCCCTTGAGGCAACTTCTCCAGGCTCCCTGGTTCCCACTGATGAGCTCTGCAGACGCTTCCTCCTCTGTGATCCAGAGACCCTTCTGGGAATGGCAGGTCGGGCCAGAACTTACTGCCCAGGGAGGCAAGGAGATGATTCCTACCAGCCCTGGACACCCACTATCAACCCCACCGTGGCTCAGAGGGGCAAGAGAAAGAAAGATATTGCACTTGCTAAGATTCAAGGAGATTCCTGCCCTATCTCACCCAAGGGCACAACATGTCTGACATTTCATTTTGTGACCTTGTTGCCCGCAGAACCCTCCTGACACCAGCTGGCAGCAAAGACATGGTCCCCCCAGAGTGGCCCAGGTGACTGGGCCAAGACCACACGTGGGGGATGAGCCTCCCATCAGCTGGAGGAGAGGCTCTGAGGAGGGGGCAGGCGGGGCTGGGAGGGGAAGGCAATATCTCAGGAAGAGGAGGAGAAGCCACAAAGGGTAGATCCCAGGGTTTCACGCCATCCTTTCCTGCAAACACTTTAGCTAAGCTCAACAACCTGAAGAGTGTCTAACAAGGTTGGAAGGGCCCCCCAGGCCCTTTTCTGACTCTGGTCAGGACTGGGCAAGGGGGCGGGATGACTGCTCAGTGAGCAGCAGCCCTCCTGCCTCCGTCATGGGGCAAGCGTCTGGACATTCATGGCTGATTCTGAACTGTTTTCTCACATCCCTCCAGCGCACATAATTCCCTGTTCCATGCCAACTACTAACAAATGCTTGGAAAAGGCCTCTCTTGGACAGAAAAGACAAGATTTTTCTGGGTTTCTATAAAGTGCAGCTAATTTAAGGCAAATTTATGTAAAATAGAAAATAGGGGTTTTTCTCTCTCTATGTACACATTTTTCAGTTTAAACACATGGTCTTGCTCTTCAAAAGGGACCAGAGGGGAAGGAGGGCTCCCTGAATCAGCAGGAGTCTGAAGAGCAACATTCCTGTGGGTGCCCTGAAAGCACAGAGTTACTGCTGAGCATCCGACCAAAAGGAAAGGTTCTCCTCTTTAAAAAAATAACCATTATATAGATTCTCCAAATGAGGGGTGCTATGCAGCTTCAAAGATGTGGGGAATGCTGGGCTGAGGGAGGGGTGACTCGTCAGGTGATGGCCAGCTGGAGGCCTGGGCTGGGTTTCCAATTTCTAATTCTGCCCCATATGCTCAATGCCTAAAGCCAATGTCAGCTCCAAGAAGGAATATCTCCCATCTCCGTCCATGTCAAACTCTGCCATGCTCTGGGCAGATGGGACACCAGAGCCAAGCAGGTCCTGGAGATCCTGGTAGGACAGCTTCCCCTCGGGCCCCTGGTCTGTCTTCTGGAACAAATCCTGGAGATCTGCTGAAACAAGACACTCGATCACCCCCAGTTTACTCTTGGGCCGACTGCTTGGGAGGGCAGTGGCTGCGGGAGAGCCAGGAGGCCCGGGCTCCTGCTGCAGAGAGAAGCGGCCCAGGGCACTCCGCTTGCAGAATCTCACCAAAGGCAGTGGGATGACAAGGAATGACAGCTGCTGATTCTGTGTGAAATGACTGCTCATGCCAGTCCCTGGAGATGCAAGGTGCTACCCTCATCCCTCGGCTCACAGTGCCTCACAGTCACCCGTCGAGGCCTGGAGCCAACGCCTGTTTGACGGAGGCGACAGTGACCCTGTGGGCCTTCGTCCCCACCCTGGGCCCTCTGGATAACTCCCTCCACTGCGGTCTTTTATGACTGCCTTGCTACCGGAACCAGAACGACTTCCTGAGCATCTTTAAAGCCCAATTGGGAGCCGAGAGACACACGACCCTGTGTGCTATTCATTCTTATTGGCTCCTGGGAACTCACAGGGAGGCTGAGGGCAGTTCGGGTCAGAGGCTACCTGCAGAGGATGGCCGGCCTGGCCACAGCAACCCTGGAAGACCATCTCTTGGATTCTCAAGGGGCTGTTATCTCTGCCAGAAGGATTAGCTACAGATGCTGGAACTAGGGGGTGCACAGACACTGTTGGTGGGATCCTGGGCAAGGAAGGCGCTGAACTCATTTGCCTCAGTTTCCTTGTCTGTAAAATGGGATAACAAGAGCACCTCCCTCACAGGGCTGCTGTGAGGGTCAAATGAAATAATATTTGTAAAGTGCTTCGTACAGTGCCCGGCACATAGTAGGTGCTTGATAAAGACCTGCTTCCTCCCCCCCCAATTAACCACCTCTTCTGGGGTGTGCCCAAGAGTCAGGTCTGTGACACAGTCAGGAAGGCCAATCGAGTCTCAATCAGTTTGCACAATTTGTTGGTACTTACACAACGTCCCAACCCTTATCCACAAGGCCGATCTGCTGTCCTGCCAAAAGCAGGTTCCCGAAGTCTGACGATACCAGTCTTCCCATCCACACAACCCCCATCTTGGGGCCTCCAGTCCCTCCCTCAGGGCACTCCCAGGTTGCACAAGCCTCTCTGTGTGCTTCCTGGCAGGCACAAGGGGCAGGGAATGGGGCCAATGATTCTCAAATGAATCTAACTTCATTCCAAATCTCAGTGTAAAAGGGAGGACGTGGAGCAAAAGCAGAGACTCCCGTAAAAAGAGACAACTGCACTGGACAGGATGGGATGGGAGGGCCACCAGGTGACGGAGGGCTTACACTTACAAACAACAGAATTGGGAGCAATGGGAGGACACTGAAGAACCTCCAGAAACAGGGAGGTCAGCTTCGAGAAGCAGCGAGCCTCCAGTCACAGAACGTGTTCAAGAGGCTGCAGCCCCTACTCGGAATCCCAGAAGCCTACAGCTGACACTTCTCACTCACTAACTCATTAGCAACTGGGGTGACCCTTCCTGGATGTGTCCATTTTTTAAGCTGCAGGCTTAATTATGCGTTAAATGGATGGATGGATGGATGAAAGAAATCCTCCTATGGGCATCTACACTAACCCACACCTGAAGCAGAATGTCTTCCACAGCCTGTCCACGTGGCCATCCAGTCCCTGCCTGAAGACCCCTAGTGCTGGGGAACCCACTGCCTTCTCCCCGGCGGCAGGACTCCCCCACGATGTGGCCTCCAGGCTCTTCCCCATCCTTGGGGGGATTGGGGGGGGCTCCACTTTATCCCTGTCTTCCCCAAACTAGGGATCCCAGAGCTGCACCCAGTGCTCCAGGCCTAGCTGACCAGGGCTGATGACTCTAGAGGGACCCCAAGTCTGGAGTAGCCTTCGGTGCTCGCACACTCAGCACAGGCCATGTGGGGGGCCTCCTCCTGCCCTAGTCTGGATGTTATAGGGCACCTTCTGCTCTGAGGGAAGGAGGTGGGACTGAGTCACTTCTTAGGCTTCTTCTAGCTCTAGGACACAAGCGTTCACTGAGTTCTCACTGTGGCCTAGGCCCTTCCACGGTCTCTGGGCCTCATTCCCCCCTCCACTGTGCCTGACTCCACAGACTTTGCCACCTCCCCCCTTCTTGTCCCCCCTTTGTATTGTATTTCCATTAGAATGTAAGCTCCTAGCGGACAGGAACTATTTCTTTTTGCTTGTGTTTGTATCCCTTGCACTTAGCACAGAGCCTGGCACAGAAGAAAAGCTTAAAAAATACCAGTTGCCTACCAGCTCAATGACTGGGTACACAAAAGATTTATACAATCTATGCAGTGGGGATAACCGTAAAGTCTTACACTTGGATCCCTCCCAAGGACAAAGGTAAAAGGGAGGACAAGACAGCAGGTGTTTTGAAAAGGACCTGGGAGTCTGAGTGGATCACAAGCCCAATGAGTTAGCAGGGTGGGGAGGCAGCTTTAAAAAAAGCTGGCGGGATCTTTGGCTGCCTCAAGAGGGATGTGGTGGTGAGGGCAAGGCTGGGGAGAGTCGCTCTGTGCTCTGCTCTTGTCAGAACTCTTCGGAGGACTGTATTTTGTTCTGGGCAACAAGCTTTAGGAAGGACATTGATTGTCTGGAGAGTGTCTTGAAGAGAGCAGCCAGGAGAAGGAAGGGACCTTACAGGCTGCTGAGTTCAACCTCCTCATTTTACAGGTGAGGAAACTGAGGCCCAGGGGGCTGTCTGAGTTCACAGAGGCACTAAGGAACAGAAACAGAATGTGAACCCAGGTCTTCCACTGAAAACACACTGCCTCTCCCAGGGCAGAATTAGGGAAAAGGCATGGAAGTGGACAAGAAGCATATTTGGGCTCAAAGGAAAAGTTTCTTAAGCCCTTAACTGCCCCACAGTGGCATCAGCTGCTTTAGGAAGTAGTGGTCGCCTCTGCCTGGGGGTCTCTGAGCCAGAGCTGGACGACCCCCGGCCTGTGCCACTCTGGAGGGGAGGCTTCCTATGGGCCTCGTGGCTCCTTGCAAGGGACCTCTGAAAGCGTCTCTTCCAAATCCCGTATTTTGTGGGTGAAGAAACAGCGGCCTAGGAGGTACAGGGATCACCCAAAAGTATGTGGACAGCAAGGATCCAAAAGTGGGATCTGAACCCAGGTCCTCTGACTGGGCTGTTCTAAGGCTTCCCTGAGAACCTTCACAAACACTCAGTGGTTTCAAAGCCCCTCAGCCCCCCACCCACCTCCTAACCAGCTCCGTCCTTGCCCTTCCTTCCCTTTCAGACTGACCTGTCAGGCTGGAAATTTCTGGGATGGAGACAGGTCTCAGATGGGCAGCTGTCTCCATCTGGTTTCCAAGAGATCGTGGGGAATATTTTGGAAATGTAGACGGCTTTGACGCAGAACTCTGTTTTTTCTCTGTAACAGACATACACAGAAGGGTTAATCTGATGGAATGATATTAAATTAAGCCAGTACAGAAAGTCCCTTTTGAAGTCACCATCAAATCTGGAGGAAGGAAAACGGAGTGACAAAGGGCGTGTGTGCTATGCCGCTGAAGGGACATGAGGCCAAGGTTAGAGTGTAATCAGAAAAGGCTCCAAGGGAAACATCAAAGGCCAGAAGAGCTCTGACAACCAGAGACAACAACCTTCGGGCTGGGAAAGAAAGGGCGTGATGAGGGCTTGGGTCACCCCACCCTCGAATCTGGCCACACAGTTTTCATTTACATCTCCTCCCCCAGGGGCACAGCACCTGGACTTAGATAACCCTGGGTACCCAACCAGGGATGCAAAGTCCCAGGTAAGCAGGGAGAAGGGAGAAGAGCATTGAAGGATGTTAGGGTGTGTGTGTGTTGGGTCCCTGCCATTGCCTGGGGCAGAACCACAGCATGTGGGGAATGGAGCTGGTAGTCGGGTATTTTGGCCACTGGCTGGTGAGCCTGGCTCAGTCCTGGAGCCCACCATGAAAAGGATCCTTATGTTAGGGGCAGCTAGATGGCGCAGTGGATAAAGCTCCAGCCTTGGAGTCAGGGGGATCTGAGTTCAAATCCAGCCTCAGACACTTGACACTTACCAGCTGTGTGACCATGGGCAAGTCACTTAACCCCGATTGCCTCACCAAAAAAAAAAAAAAGAGAGAGAACCCACTTTTAGCAGCAGCTAGGTGGCACAGTTGATAGAGCACCAGTCCTGAATTAGGGAGGACCTGAGTTCAAATGCAGTCTCAGACACATAACACTTACTAGCTGTGTGACCTGGGAAAGTCATCTAACCCCACTGCCTAGCCAAAAAAAAAAAAAAGGAACAAGCCATGTCAGATGGACACCTCTTTTCTTGACAGGACTGGTCAGACAGGGAATGAAGGCTGTAATGGGGCACCTGGCAAAGGGCTTCCCTGTACTCACTCTCCAGGAGGATGACAGAGTGATGTAGGCTTGAGGAGGGGACAACCTGGTAGATTTGGAACTTGCAGAGGGACTGCGTTCAAAGAACAGGATTGAATGGGTCAGTTTCAGGCTGGAAGATTTCAGGGGCGTGCACTGTCCAGAACTGTACACCAAGACTGGGCATTTTCTGACGGCTCCTTCCTGGAACCTTTGCTGATGCCCTTTGCTCTGGGATGTTCTCCCCTCTCCTGGTTCTCCTCCTGCCCTCTGCCTGCTCCTCCTCGGGCTCCCCTCACTGGACCCTCATCAATGCCACGTGCATTTGACACAGGGGATTCCCAAGGCTCTGTCCTGGGCCTGCTTCTCTTTACAACCTCTCACCAGTGACCTCACATTGATGACCTCATCAGCCCCTGGGGATTTAATTGTCATTACTATTTAATAATTTTTTCAATTATCAAGCCTTTATTTTTTCCCCCTGCTAGTTCTGATCCTCCCCATCATAAAAAAAGAAAAATAATTTCTTGAAACAAATAAGCAAAATGAGGCAAAACAAATCCCCTCATTGGCCACATCCAAAACTCCATCTCCTGATGCGACGCTGAGTCTGCTGCCAGCCTCACTGTGGTCACGTTTGGGGTGGGGGAGGTGCAGGAGTTTAGTGCCCTTCCTTGTCGCCCCAGGGCCTCAATGATCATCTCTATCTCCAGCCACCTCTTGGACACTGAACTGGGTGTCTGACAGGCCCCTCAAACTCTGCCATGTCCAGAACAGACCCCTCCTGCCAGCCCTGCCTGCACACAGATGCACCGAGCCAGTCTTTTGCCAGACAGACCCCTCCTCCTCGGCCTGCTGGCCTCGGGTCTCCTCCCTCCCCACCTCATCCTCTACTTGGCTGCCAACGTGATTTGCCCAACAGGCAGGTGCGCCCACATCTCCACCCTCTACCACAGCAAGCCCCAGTGACTCCCTACTGCACACCACACAGACAATACTCTGTTTGGCCCTGTACTCTTTCCAGACTTGTTTGTGATTACCCCTCCTCCAATGGCCTGAGGTCAGGCCAGCCTTTCTGCTGTTCTCACACACAACATGCCATCTCCCGTCCTAGCACCCTGGCCCATTCCTGGACTGCCCTCTCTCCTCATCTTTCCCTCTGAGAATCCCTGATTTCCTTCAAAACTTAGCTCAGATGTCACAACTCCTACACAAGGTCCTTTTAAGCCACCCCCCCCATTTTCTTATTATTTATTTTGCATGGTTACATATGTACGTTGCCTCCCCAGACAGAATGGGAGCTCCTTATGGGCAAGGGCTATCTCATGTCAGTCTGACAAGGGCAGCATGGGGCCTTCACCTCTCTGGGCCTCAGTTTCCTCATCTGTAAAATGACCAAAAGTCCCTTCCACTCTAAGAGTTGGGCAGTGCTCATGCAGATGTAAATGCTGAGGATGAGGGACTTCTGGGGAAGTGACAAAAATCTATAGATTACATAGGCAGTGGGGAGCCTGTTGGGAGATTTTGAAACACGTTGGCAGAAAAGGCAAGAGCAGCCACCACTGCTCATTTACAGGTCCACAGCTTGGGCTGCAGAAGGTAGCACTGGGCTGAGACACCACAAAAATCTCCTTTGGGCACTCCCCCAGGTTCTCAGGTCTAAGGCATCTAATGAAGTGCCTGCCCAGCCGTGGGCAGGGCCTGAGGGGCCAAAGACATGCGGCTGCATCTCCCCTGGCATTTATGGAGATGCCAGCTTTACCCGAAGGATTCATGTCCCTGGAAGCTTTGAAGGAATGGGCAGATAGATGTCTTTCAGGACAAGCCAGGGACAGTCCTTTTCAGAGACAGGGCAGGACAGGGGCACCAGGGAACTGCCAAGCCCCAGAACTCTATCTGTAGTAGCTGGTGATTTTTAGGAGCACTGAGGTTTGCCATCTAAAACCAGTGACTGTTAAGCGTTGACCCATAAGCTACAACTCAGGCCAATCCTCTGGTCATGTGAGAGTCAGGCTCTTGCTAGTTAACAGATGCAGGAAATTCTATCTGCAGCTCAGTAGGCCCACTGACCCTTACCAGACTCAACCCTCTGGCCCTTTCTGTGCCTGAGCTCGGGGCTGTGCTCCCGAGCAGGCGGGGGCTCACTCACCGTCCTCAGAGGCCTCCTCACGTGGCTGTTTGGGCTCTGGCTTGCCTGTGAGAGCATTGATCAGCTGGAGCTTCTCCTTCAGCTTGGAGGCCTGAGTGTCTTCATTGTCTTCTTTCTGCCCCCAAGCAAAGATCAAAACAGGTTTATGGGACTAAGTGGCCAGAGTGTGAACGACTACTACATTGGAGGACATGACTGCTATTCTTGGAGCCTGAAAAGCCATCTATCAATCCCAAGGAAGGATTCAGTTTGGTCTGCTTGGCCCCAGAGAGCAGAACTCTGGAAGAAAGTTCTTATCTACAGATAACACAATACACATACTTGTACACACATATGCACACATGTGAAGAAGACCTGGGCTGCAGTCCTAGACCCATCACTTACCTGCTATGTGTTCTGCAATGTCAGTCTGTACCTCTGTCCAGTGGAGATGGTACGTGCCCTCCTACCCCCCTCCCATCACCTCCTCTGATCCTCACAGTAACCTGGATGGGAAAGCATCCATTTGTAGATTGTCAGGGGTGGTACGCGCATACTAGGTGTTATTGTCTATATTACAGGACCCCCGAGGAGGGAGCATCCAAGCCGGGGGCTGAGATCAAGGGCCCCTTGGAGGTGGGCATTCCTGTTAGTGGTGCAGATTGCAGCCCACCCTGACTGACTGTTCTCCCAGTCCAGTCCCCTCAACCCCCTTCACTCCAGGGGCTTCCCCCAAGCTCTCTTGGTGTCGAGGACTGTGGGCTGTGCTCAGGCATCTCTCTGCCTTGCCATACCGGCTGCTCCTCCATTCCTCTGATGACATCCTCTGGACTTCCTGGTCTGCTGAGCGTGTTGAATCTGCTCCCACCCACCATGTGCCTCTCCGCTGCCACGGTTCCTTCTTCAGAGGCTGTCAGGCCCCATCGCCAGCCTGGGGTCATTAGTTCTCAGTCACTGACTGCTCCTTCTCAATCTCCGGTGCTGGATCACCACCCATGTCATGTCATGCCCCCTCGCTGTGGGGATCCCCTAAGGTTCTGCCCTGTATCCTCTTTGCTTCTTCTCAGGGATCTTATCTTGGGGATGTCATCAGCTCCCCCATCCTCCTCTCAAAGCTCCCATGGAGCTGTTAGCTCTCCGCGCCCAGCCCTACTCTCTGCAGGTCCCGTCCCACACCTCCCACCACCCACTGTATGTTCCAAAACAGATGTTCCACAGTCAGTCGACTAGCACGTAGTGCATTTATGTGTCAAACTCAATGTGTCCAAAAGAGAACTCGCTATCTTTCCTCTCCAATGTGCCTCTTTTGCTATCTTCCTGGTTACCTCTGAGGACTCCATCATTGACCTCGTCACCTGGACATCTCCCTCGCCCTCTGCTTTCATCTCTCTCACCCCTCTCCCTTCTCCTTACTTTTGCAGCCAGCCCCATTTCCCTCCCTGGTCAGGCCCCCATCATCTATCACCAGACCACAGGTCTGCTTAAAGGGCCCCAGAGGCTCCCTCTCCCCTCTACTACCACATATATACATGCACACGTGTGCTGGCTCCAGCCTGCCCTTCCACACTCCCTCTCTGCTCTGGCCTGGCCAGACTGGACGTCTTGCTGCTCCTCACACACTGAAGTCCACCTCCTACCTCTGTGTCTTTGAACTGGCTGTGCCCCAAATCTGAGATGCACTCTCTTCACCTCCCCTCGTCTGAGAATCTCGTTTGCTTCAGTGCCTGGCTCATTAGCATGTGAGCTCTTTAAGTGTATGGATGGTATTTGCCTTTCTTTGTATCCCCAGCAGACAGCATGGTGCCTGGCACATAGTAGGGGCTTAATATCTGTTGCTTGTGGACTCCAACATGACCCCTATGGGAAGTCTTCGCTGAGCTCCTCAAGTACCAGTGCCTCACCTCCCTATTATTCTGTGCTTAGACCTCTGCATGTTGTTTCTCTGATGGGACATAAGCGCTTTGAGAGCATCCCTACTTTTCTAAGTTTAGTGCCTAGATTATAGTAAGAGTTTAATAAATGCTCATTCACTCCCATTGTGCCCCTCCCTTTCCACTGATGCATTCTGGCCCACTTTCTTATTCCTAAACTAATTTTCCATTTACAGTATCTGAAAAGATACACATAAACACTGATGGATAAATTCTGTCCCACTGTATCCATCCAAGTGCAAACCAGGGTCTGGAGAACAGACATTATTCATCTACGTGGTTTCTCCTAAGTGGAGAGTTAGTCCAAATTTCTGCATGAATATGGATCTCATTTTAGAAGCCCTGTGATATAATGCCATCAGGGAAGAGGAGCTTCTGGAGGGCACCATCCCCTTGATCTTGGGATTCCACAATGGATCTTCTCTATGAAACACCTTAAGCAAGCCCGGGTTCTTTCTGTAATCTCCATCAAAAATTCTTATAAAATATTGATACATACATGGGAGAGGCCATAATTGAGAAAAGCTGCTAACATACTTGACTGAATCGAAGTTTTTTTTTCAAATGGTCAAACACTGAGTGAAGTGGGATCTTGCCTTCTCTATAAAGCTAGAGTCTCCTCCTGTAGAATCCACAAAAACTGTACTTAGATTAGAAAGTGGGCACATGGGTGGAAACTCTATCAGCAAGAGGTCCTTGGTAGCCTCCCCTGGAGAGCTGATCCCTTCTAAGAGCATGGCTTTCAGCACACACTATCCCTGGGCATATTTGGGCCACATGAGTAGCTTTTTTTTTTTTTTGCTTTTTTGGTGAGGCAATCAAAGTCACACAGCTAATAAGTGTCAAGTGTCTGAGGCCACATTTGAACTCAGGTCCTCCTGGCTCCAAGGCCAGAGCTCTATCCACTACACCACCTAGCTGCTCCTATGAGTAGCTTTTTTTCCCCTGTCCTCTTCAGTTTCCTCCCTCAATAACCATTTATTAAGCACTTACTATGTGCCAAACCGTCCCTTCCTCCCTCCCAGAGTGCTACAAAGTACACAGTGATACTGGTTACTGTCTAGCCTGGATGAAAGCCAGAGGCTCCCTAAAAGGGCTCCGTGAAGAACTACACGACATGTCCTGAATCTTGTGGGACCTCATTTCCACCCCCCCCGCCATGATCATAGGTGTGAGGGGCTTCATCTCTTCTGGGGTCAGGGTAAAGTCAAATACCTGGACATTCCCTGGGACAGTGGAAGGAGCCATGCCCTAGCGAGTGGAGACTGCCTTCTGCTGCATGTGCTGTCTGAGGAGGATCTGGGCCAGTGACTTCTTGTGTTTCTTGGCCAGATAAAGGACTCTACCAGCCAAGCTGCCTCCTTGGTCCGAGGAGCCCAGGGAACTGAAGGCTGTCACCTCTGGTGCTGGTTACCGGCTGTGAACGATCAGATTATTCTGGGCCGGGCAAAGGCTGCATGGAAGGCCACACCATGGCTGTGCTGAGAATGCCATCATTCCGATGACTGTTGAAGTTGGCAAGCTTGCTACCTCCAGCACCTTCCAAGTCTCCCTGTAGTGGAGGGGATCAGAGGGCACTGTGCCATCAGTGTTCTTGGGGAAGGGACTGAATCCCACCTCAAAGCCCCAGGGCCAGGGCATCAGGCAGAGGTCCAGGTACTGGGGTTCCTGAGGAAGGGCCCCACATCTTCTGGGAAGAGCTTGGAGGTCACATGTAGCTTTTTCTGGGCCGCCCCTTGCCCACCCTGACACCGTCCTTTAAGGCCTCCACACTGATCTCAATCTTACTGCTATAGATGGTGGCCTAGTCGATGTGGTGCACAGGCTTAACATCTGCTCAGGCTCGCTCCAGCAGGTGCCCAGGAGGGGCATCCTCCATCCAGTGTAGGGAATGTAGGCCCACGCTGTCCTGCTTAAGGTCTGGAGGTCCTCCCTTTCTGCTGCATCCTCCCGTCCTCCTGCTGTGCAGCCTTGTTCTAGCCCTCCAGAAGCACACCTGAGATGGCAGCCTCCTGTGCTGCATAGCAAATAGGCTATTACTATACAAATAGGCTATCCCTTGTGCCCTTGCAGGTCCCTCCATAATCTCACTAAGCTCATTTGCACTCACAAAGTAGGGAACAGTGCCAACTGCTCCCTCATTCAGGCAAAGGCGTCCCAGACTTTAGAGGATCGACAGTGTGCAGAACCATTTCCTCGCCTGTTACTGCCTTCCCAGGGGCCAGTGTAACTCCTTCAGGCATCTGCGTGGCTGCCCTCCCAAGTGTGGAAGAGATTTACACACTTAAGTAGCCTCTGTTCATCCCTGTCCATAGAGAGATGGAGAGAAGTGGATAGAAAAGCAACAGAAGCCAAGTATGGGAAGCTTTAAACACCAATGGCCACGTGGTGTTATCAGCAAGGACTCCTCCGTGGCTGTCTCCAAAGGCATTCCCATCCATATCTGTCCCCTCTCAGCGCCCCAAATGGACAGAGTATGTAACGGGTGCTCTCAGTAGCTCAGCTGGCCGCTGAGGAGAAGAGCGTGTCCAAATTTGCTCTCCTTTCTACCAGTCAGAGCACAGGGAATTCTCCAAGATTCTTACAGGTCACTTCTCTGGGAGGAACGAAGGAGGGGACAGGATGGAGGACAATGGGAAGCTGGTCAGCGGTGTGTGTGTGTGTGTGTGTGTGTGTGTGTGAGTGCATGTGCCCCTGCACCCATCTACATGAAGTAGAGATGACTGGTGCCTGCGGTGACTGCCGTAGCGGAGGGGCTGAACCGTGTACCCAGGAGATGTGGATGCCAAGGTGGCCTGCCTGTTTCTTTTTCTCCCTTACCTTCAGGATTGGGGCTTGCTCCCCAACTGTCCTATGAGAGTCTCTGTTCAGAGAAGCAGCTCCAGCAGCCACCTTGAACATGATGAGAGGATGGAGAAGGGAGAAGGAGGGAGGGAGGAGAGGGGGCAGAGGAAGAGGGGGAGAAGGAAAAGAAATTTCTTTAGGACAAACATCGTGCCCTTTTCAATCCCGGCTACATTCGTCTGGAAGCCTGGAGAACACTTTCACATGGATAGCATGGATCAAAAAGGAGAATGAGAGTGAAAGGGAGCAAAGCCACAGAGAAACAGCACCACAGTATGGGGCAGCTTCTACCAGGAGTCTGTCCCAGACCTGAAGATGCTGACTCACACAGGCCTCCTTCTCTTCCTCTAAACCAAAGGGGACTGCTGGGCTCCCGTTACCAGATCTCTCCTGGGACATACTGAGGCCCAGAGGCTGCCTTGCCTCCTGTTCACTGCTTTGAGGAGTCCACATGGGAACCTTTTTATCTTCCCAGCTCAGTATTAAATGGCCTGCCCTGGTGATGGACAGCAGAAGCTGGTACTTGGGCACCCCCAAATTCACAGAGGAAGAGGAGGCTGGCTAGGCCCCTGGCCAAGGCTGGGCACTGCAGGAAAGCCTGGATCTGGCTTTCCCATATTGCACCTGCCTGACTCTGGGCACGTTCACGGAGATAAGTATGAGCTTCCTGCATGACACTGGCCTGTGCAGGGCCTACTGTAGAACCACATACATGCAGATGATGAGAGGGAGACACACACTAATGATGAAGATGTTAAACCTAGCAGAGCATATCACCTAGGATGAAGACAACATGGTGGGGTAGAAAGAACGCTACTCATAGAGTTAGAAGACCAGACTAACTAGAGTTCGTCTTTGGTTTTCTCCTCTGTAAAATGGGAAGGATGATGACATGTGCACTCCTGACCTCCCAGGGATAGTACGAGAAGCTGTGCTCCATTCAACCTTAAGAATGTGATCCTCCCTGAAGGGTAGCACAGCAGAGGGGAAGGTGGGCACGCTCCTGGCTCTGTTGGGTACCAGATGCGTGACCATGGGCAGCTTACCTGCCCTGCAGGCCTCTCCGTCTCCTCATCTGCAGCCTCCCAGGCTTCTTCTGAGTACCACAAAGCCCTGTTCTAAGAAGGCACTGCCCTGGTGACCTCTGGCAGTCAGCCAGGGAGCTCTGATAACCGCCTTCCTACACTCAGTGCCATGGGCTCTTCCATGGCTCCTGAGGCGTGAGGGAGCCCATGGCTGCTGACATTTAAGTGTGAGCTCTGGGCCTCAGTTTCCTCATTGGTGAACACGCTTCCTCCTGATTCTAAATCCAAACAAAGTCTAAAAAATAGTCAAGATTTCTCATGACCCTTGGCCATCTGCACATGCCACGCAGGAGCCCAGGATGAAGGGTACAAGCAGCAGGTTGGCATGGCTCAACCTCTTGTGCCTATGCAGATGGGTTGGCCATCTTTTCTGTAAATCACTTTTCTCACCTGTAAAATGGGGTGATAACTCCTGTTCTGTCCACTTCACCACATCATGAGAATCCCATGAGACAATGGATGGAAGCGTCATGCAAATGCCACACCCGAATGACTGTCTAATCTGGGAGAAGCCTGAGGGCAGCCACATGGACATGGCACACAGTAGTGGTCAGAGCATGTTGCCAGGACCTAGACAGTCTTACCGTAGTGAAGGACAGGTTCTCTCTCTTTCCTAACTTGCTCAGAACCACCAGGCTGCTTCCTATCGAGTTGACTCTCTGGGTCAGATTCCTGACTGTCCCATCCATCCCCAGAAGCTTAAGGTCATTCTTTCTCTGGTACCCCAAGAGGGTCCTGTTGACCTCTTCTAAAGAGCTCTGAAGGTGCAGCATGTCCTAGAGCAGAAACAGAGCACGTTGTGGATTTTCTCTGGCCGGCAAGCCACGGTCACATCACATGACCCATGCTGCTTCCTATCTCTACTTGTGGCCAGGTGGCTCTGACCTCAGAGAAGGGAGGAGGCTCAATTACATGAGTCCCTACAGAACAGAGTGACTGGGAACTGATTTCTCAATGTCTGCCCCTCCCGCCGGCAGCAAAGCTTGCGGGGTCATTAATGAAGAGACATATTCATTAATTTATCAGAACAATACCACCTTAGGAATGAGATCAATTACTGAATTGGCTCATGTAACACAACTATTACAAGTTGTGCATTATTCAATACAAGATCTAATTATTTTTATTGACATTCTCTGGTACCGATTGCTATTTATAAGAATGAATATTCTTGGCTTAAAAATATATTGAATCTGAGGATGGGAATGCATCCAAAGGGCGGATCCGTCAGCTTTCTTTCCTCTTAGCCCGTCGCTAGCCAAGACTAAGGTTTTTTTGACAACTGGAATTCCCAGAGAGGGGCTAAATTAATTTTGACTCAAACTGGAAGACACAATTTCTGAATGCACGTTCCTCCCACTGGCTCCAACCTGCTCAAGTTGTTAAGTGCAATGAGCCCCTCTCCTCTGCTGTGCCGATTCTAGGGCACCTGGGCAAATGCACCTGAAAGAAGGCATCTACACGCCTGCCCCACAGGCAGAAGGAGACCAGAGCCTGAGCACTACAGGAATGCTGAGTGGTCCTGGGCAGATGCCTGAAAAGGGCTGACATGGTGCCACTGACTGAATCCAAATGGTTCACTGGGTACCTTGCCAAGCTGGGTATGGCCTGCTGAAAGCCTGAGGAGGAAGCAACAAGTACCTGCTGGAAATTCTCTCTTGGGCTTTTCCTGCCCAGGCCTGGGACCATGGAGGGTGATGGAGCAGCCTTGCTGCTCTGTTTCTCGGGGTGCTGGATCTAGTAGGAGGAAGGGAAGAGACAAGAAGCTACGCCTGAGGCCTCTGCAGAGGGACCAGCCCAACAGCCACAATTCCGTGGTGAGAGACCACCTCTATCCATCCCTAGCCTGGGCTGGGTGCTGAAAGCCTCAACTGTCTCTGTAACCCCAAAGGCATCAGGCCCAGGCCCTGGCTGAGGCCTCCAAAGGGCCCAGAACACAAGGAGCCGATGTCCTCTCCCTCTCCTCTCTAGTCAAAGAGGGTAGTCTGCCCGGCCTTGTGCCAGGTGCTGGGGATACAGAGACAAGAGTCCCTGCCCCCAAGGAGCTCACAGATGCCAAGCTCTCCCATGGTCTCTACCTTCTGTGTTTCTGCTTACACCAGAAAAGCCATCGAGGACTTGGAGTCAGGAGAAGCTGGGTTCAAACCCTGCTTCAACACTGGCCTTGATAAGCCCTGACCTGCTCGTCTGCAAACTCGGGGGCCATTCTCTGGCTCAGAATGGAGAATCCTGTGGCCATTCTCTGTATCTCCGTCTCCGTCCCACACTGCTGCTGAATTCTGAGCCCCCTTTAAATCCCACCTCGAATGCTGCCCGCCCTGCGCAGCCATAGAGGTGGCACCTCCTCCCCCCCAGGGCTGCCCAACATGAGTTGGAGGCTCACAGGAGTCCCCTTTTCCCTCACTCCCGCCTCCTCTTCGGCCTCGCCCCTGGGCTCTGTTCACACCTAGGACTGAGTCACTGTTTGCTGCTCCTGGAGCAGTGTTATCATCATCATTGCTTAACCTCTGTCCCCTGAAAGTGCCATGTCCCCACTGACTGTCTATCCTGGAACCACCTGGAAAACTCTGTGTCCCCTGGCCGCAAAGTGGAGTTTTCTACATGGACTCTACCACCTCCCTCTGCCCCCTTTCCCAGCCCAGGCCTGGAAGACACCCCCCTCTGAAGCCCTGGTACCTAGGAGAACCACCCCCACCCCTTCATTTTTCATGGCTGGGCAAAATGAGGGCTTCCAACCGCAGCACACACACAAAAGGCTTTCCTGGATGGTGGCCAGGCAGGTCAAAGACAGAGAGACTTAATTAAAACAAAACGCAAGCAGTAGCAGCAAATTGGATTCTGAAGGCTCTAACTCTCTTTTAAGCATTCATTTTGCGTTAGCTTTGATAATGAGCAGAAGAAACAACTGAGGGAGGGGCCTCAGTGGGGGCCAGAGACATACCTGAGGGCCAGGCGTGGAGGTGGTGGCAGAGGCCCCCAGGACGCCCCTCCAAATAGGGTCCTTTGGGGGAACAAAAGGACCAGTCACTTTAATTTTTTTACAAGAGAAGAATGGTTGGCTCCATCAGGGCAAGTCCCTTTCGGGCACCTCCCTTCATGCCAAAGGCCCCCCATCCATGAACCTACTCAAAGGGAGAGAGAAGTTGTGTCTCAGCGGCCTCCCTCCCTCTGGGTCTGCAGTGACTTGCCCACGAGAGGCAGGGGAGGAGCAAGTGCTGGGAGGCAAGGGGCTGGGTGATTCTAGGCTGGGCAGTGCAGTGGCAGAGTGCTGGGCCTGGAGGCAGGAAGACCCAAGTTCACATACAGCCTCAGACACTTTCCAGCAAGTCACTTCACTGCTGTCTGCCTCTGTTTCCTCATCTGTACCTGCCTCCCAGAAGCTCATCTTTGTAAAGCACTTAGCATGGTGCCTGGCGCACATATCAGATGCGAAATAAGAGCTCACTGCCTCCCTCCCTCCTCCCTCTGACGTTCTATGCTTGTCCTTTGGACCATCCTTCCATCCTCTCTTCCTACACATACACACTCTCTCTCTCTCTCTCTCTCTCTCTCTCTCTCTCTCCCCTTCCCCCTCTATTTTCGCCTGTTTTCCCTATGGTTTTAACACTCACTAACCTTCCTTCTGATCCTGGCCAGGTCACAGTCTGAGCCTAGCTCTGAGCCTCAGTTTTAGCATTTACAAATTGGGCACGATAACTCTCTTGAGCCTGTAAGTACATCACTTTGTAAACCCTGTCGCTTCCTAGACACGCTCCATTTCTCAGCACCAAGACTGAGTTCCTGGAGCCCTAGGGGCCCACTCTATCTGCCTCTCCTCTGACATCCACACAAAGCTGATCCCTGCCCCCGACTCCCTGCTCCATGCAGCACCGCCCAGAAAGGCGACGACTCCGGGAGAGGGTGATGCGGGGCCGGCTGTGCACGCCTTCCTGTGGCTGCTCTTTCCCTCTCCTCCTATCCTCGGTGTGTCGCCCACACTTGCTGTGACTCCACCTATGGACGCCTGCTCTACAGGGTTTAATCATTAACGATTCACCCCACATTCTAGCGTGAGCCCTGTGCAGACACTGAGGCACTAGAGAACATGGTTTGCTTTTGGAAGACCGTGGATGTCACAGGACTTTTTTTGGTGAGAGGCCGCTCTGAGGGCCGGCAGGCTGATCGACACTGGGACTGGCCTGGATGGCCAGGGGGGCCGCCTCTGGCCTGGGGTAGGGTTTCCTTACCGTGTCCCTCTGGAGGGCCTCAATGGTCCTCTTGTGTTCGTCAACTGTTTTCTGCACGGCTTCCACAGCAAGACGGACGCTGTTTAAGGTGCTCCCGATGGAGGCCACACTCTGAGGAGAGAGGCAGAGTGAGTGTGGCTGCAGCCACATAAGGGACCCCACCGAGGGCCCAGCATTCCGCTGCACACAGATGGCAGGGAACCACGAGCACTGAGTGGCTTCCTGAGCAGCAGCATGAACCAAAGGCTCAGGTGTATGACCTTGGGAGGTCACTTCTTCCTCTAGAAATGAAGAGCTCAGGCTCTAAGGCTCCTTCTTGCTGCTCTGAATCTATGATGCCAACTTCTCAATTTGGAATCAATCACTACTCCAGGCCAGGCGCTGCCTGAGGACCAGCGTCATCACGGGCAGAAGGATAATACTGCTCATGCTCTCTGTGGAAGGGACATCTCACACCCTTGGTGGTCCTCGCCCTGCACCTCGAGGGGAAGGTCCGATCGGCCATGTCCATCCTTGCCTGTGCCAGCCCGGGCTGGGCCTGGGGACAGGCTCCAGCACCCACCTCTAAAGGAAGACTGTGCCAAGGAGTCAGGGAAGAGGAAAGTGCCACCTTGGAAGGTGAATTTTGCTCATGTATTAAATTGGTGACAATCACGTACGGAATGTGTGGCTAGCCAACTAGGGGACAGCACAGTGCAAGTGCACAGGGTCTAGAGTCAAGAGAGCCCCAGTTCAAATCCAGCCCCAGCCACTTCCAGCTGTGTGACCCTGGTCAAGTCAATCGACCTCTGGATGCCTCAGTTTTACCCCTTCTGTAAAATGGGGATCATAAATAGCACCTACTTCACAGGGCTATTGTGAGAATAAATGCAGACACTGTTTGTAGAGTGATTTGGAAACCTCAGTGTACTATACAAATGCTAGCTCATGTGATGATGATGATGATGTCACATCCAAATTGAGAATTCTGACAGTGGTCGGTGGCCGTCAGCTTGTGGCTGATCTCGTTGCTGGTGGCGTTTGGTTGTTTCAGTCTGGTCTGACTCTTCCTGACCCCATTTGGGGTTTTCTTGGCAAAGACACTGGAGCGGTTGGCCGTTTCCTCCTCCAGCTCATTTTACAGATGAGGAAACTGAGGCAAACTAAGGGTTAAGTGACTTGCCCAGCGTCACACAGCTGGTAAGTGTCTGAGGCCAGATCTGAACTCAGGGAGATGAGTCTTCCTTGATTAAAGATAAAGGTTTCAGAGTGAGTTCTGTTAAAACCACGTCTACAGGCCACGTCCTACTTTATGACTGACCAGGGCTCAGTGCTGTCAACGCATGGGTCTGCAGGAAGTGTCTCCCTGCTGGGGTCCTGAGGCCACATGGCTCCAGATGTACAAGCACATCTCAGAAGCTTCTCTGGGCCCGGCTCTCATGCCTCAGTGACCCAACCTTTACTCTGAGTGGCTGAAGAGCAGGCCTGCAGGTTCCCTACTCTTGCTTTCCTGGTGCTTAGCAAAGAGGGTAGTGGAGGGGTTGGACAGACGTTTAGTTGTGAACGAATTGGAGTTTCACGGGCTTGAATTCATCCATGGGTGCTTCATTCATCTTCATCTATATAGGGCCGCAGTCAGTCATTTATTAAGTGCCTGCTGTGTGCCAAGCACTCTGCCAAGCACTGTGTATACAAAAAAAGTCCCTGCCCTTAGGGATCTCACAGTCTACTCTCGAGGGAGGCAACGTATAAACTATGGATCAGGGAGCTCTAGATTGGATAATCTGGGGATCAGAGGACATTATCAATGCTTTGGTCCGACTCCCTCGTTTGAGAAGAAACAGGCCCCGCCCATGGCTACCCAAAGTCCAGGACACTGCCCCTGTGGGCTTACAAATAAAAGCTGGGATCTAGGAAATATTTCACAACTTTTTAATCCAGCTGATTCATATATTTACTGAGCCTCTATTTGGTGAATGAGGCCACCCTCTGAGGGCTGGCACAGAGGAGCAGGGTGTGGACATGGATGCCTTGGTCTAATGGGTTAACTCCACCTGTCTCCACCATGCCTCAACCTCCCCATCTGCTACTGTGTGGCCAGGACGAACTCTGCGGGCTCTCAGAGATGCATGTCTGTTTGGCACCCAAATCCCAGTCCATTACGGGCATGTGAGGAGTGGTGTGTGAATGCCCCTAGAAAGCCACACAAGTGATTTTCTGGGCAAAACAGTCTGTGACATGTTCTTTTCACTTGTATCTGCATTCAGGGCCTCTGATCTTCCATTTGGGAAAATGCCAAAAAGCTTCTGTCTGTCAGAGCGTAAATGATGATTAAGGCAAAGATCAGAGAAGGCAGAAGGCCAGGCAGCTCTAATCTTTGTTCTGGGAGGGGATGGCCACCCCCACTTCCTGCTCCTTGTCTTTCTCCACCATTTCTGGTTCTCATCCTTAGGGGACTCAGTTCCCTCCTTGGTCTGCCATTTGAGGCCTCCCAATTTACTGCCTTCCCATTTAGCCTGCTTCATCATGACCCCAAACTGCCTGGCAGCTTTGAGTTCTCTATGCCTTGGGGAGACAAGACCATGCACTGGAAGGGGCACTGCATTTAGAGCGAGAGGACCTGGGCTTCAAGCCTAGGCTCTACCTAATCGCTACCTAGGTGACCGTGGCCAAGGCTCTTCACCACTCAGCCTCAGTTTCCTCATCTGTAAAATGAAGCAGTTGGATTGGACCAGGGGCCTCTAAATGAGTCCATGTTGTTCCCCAATCCCGGAGTGTATCCCACCTCTCTTTTAAGCCTCACTCGGCTGCCACTTCCTCGAGAAGCTTTCTCTGCCCCCCTTAGCCCTCACACAGGCCCCTGTCCACTGTGCACGTACATAGATGGTCAGGTCCCACTGGGGCAAAGAATAAATCTTGTGTTTAAACACACCCTGCTTGAAGCTATAATTATATGTAAGCTCTGATGACTGGTTGCAGCAGGAAAGATGTCGTGTGACCGGAACAACAAGGTAGGGCCTGGAGTGGCCCACGCTGCGTCATGACTCCTACCTGGCCCCCACCCCCTTGTAGGCCCCAGACTGTGTCTCTCCACCTCCCCAGCCCTCAGAGGGTGCCAAAGGGTCTGCAGAACTGAGCTGGTGAGAGCCAGGGAGCAGGTGGAGCCGTGGCCAAGGCCTGGACACTGGGCGTGGGGTTAGCCGAGTGTCTTTACCCTGCAGCACTCAGGGGAAATTACACTGCTACCATTTTCTGGAAGATCAAGGGATGGAAGGAGGCCTCCCTGGTGTGCGTTTGGGTGGCTTTCAAATGGACAACCCAATAAACTCCTCAGTAAAGATGCCAGAGATCAAAAGCTCATCCCCCCCCAACCCCGAAGAGGCTCTTGGATGACAGACACCCAGCAGACCTAAGGGGGTGGAGCCCTTGAGACCCAGGCTGAAGCTGTCTGCTGCCAATCAAGGCTGGAGCCAATGATACAAAAGTCTTCCTATGACTCTCCTGAGTAGAGCTGGACTTCAAAGAAAACTGCAAGAGCCCAGCCTTCCTGAGAAAGACACATGGGAGCCCAGGTTTATGTGCTTACCTTCTGAAGGCCCTCGACAGTGGCAGGCAGGCTAATCAAATCTGAAGCTGATTTGATGTTGGCTTTGAGGCGGTTCACTGTGGAAGTCAACAAAGCAATCTGAAAAAACATGGAAAATACGAACCTCTTTTCAACAACTCATGGCCTCAGGCACCACGTCCCTGCCCCTGTGGGGCACTTGCCCCCTGCCCTAGGGTCTGTAGAGGCCCAGGACCCCACCCGACCTCACCCAAGGCTTTGGCCATGTCAGACTTCCTCACAGTCCTTGAGCAGAAAGGTGCTTCTGACCTTCACAGTGGAACCTCCAGGCAATCTGGAGGGGTTTGTCTGGGCATAGAACCACACTCAGGCTACTTTTGATCTGTGTGTGTATGGTGTCTAGGTGGTCCAAGTGGCAATCATGCTGTGCAGGAGGAACTGTGGAGGACCCTGGAAATCTGAGGGAATGGGAGCTTGGGGGATCTCACCCTGCTGATAGCATCTGCTGGTTCAAACAAACATGCTGTGGCAGACCCCCAAGGAGCTCCCAGACTTGTGGGCTCAGCGTCTACAACACAAGCACCCATAAACAGACACTGCGTTCAAAATAAAAGGCAGCTTCCCCTTTCCTCTTTGGGAACAGAGTCAAGTCCTTGGCCCTCATCAGACCCCATCTGGCGGATGGGGTTCAGCTCCTAGCCCCCATTTCAGGAAGGACAGTGACAAACTAGAATCAAAGCAGAGAAGCGATCTGTTTTCTGGTGTCTGAAGGGTTGCCCTGAGTGGCCTCAATGGACTGAACTAGAAGAAAAGGTGAGAGTGGCCAAGAGAACCGAGATCTGATTACAGTAGAGAAACTCTACTGTCAGAGCTGAGCCAGCCTCTCCCAGCTGCCGGCTCTGTCCAGGCTGCCACCACACTTCTGCCCGCTCAGGCCTACACCTTCACAATCACCCTGGACTGCTCCTTCTCCCTCCCTTCTCCCACACATCCCTCCCCTGGACTCTTCGCCCACACAGCCAGCCGTCCATTCAGGTCCTGGATGCTTCTGCCCTGGACAATTACAACAGCCTCCTCGTTGGTCCATGTCACTCCTCTGCTCCAACCTCCCTCCCCTGCCTCATTATCCATTATTCTCCTTCACACCCTTTCTGGGTTAGCCAATGGGCTCCTTCCCGTTCCTCCCATGAGACTCTATTTGCCACCTCGATGCCTGGAGTGCTCTTCTTACTCACCTCCACAGAGCTTAGTGCAAATTTGATTTTTTTTTTTTGATGAGGCAATGGGGTTAAGTGACTTGCCCAGGGTCACACAGCTAGTGAGTGTTATGTGTCTGAGGCTGGATTTGAACTCAGGTCCTCCTGACTCCAAAGCTGGAGCTGTATCCACTACACCACCTAGCTGCCCCTGCAAATGCTATTTCTACTAAGTGAAGTCCTTCTGGTTTCCACCCCACTGCCCTGCCCCTCAGCTGCTGGTGCTCCCCCCTAAAATTACCTCATATATATACGTGCTGCTTCCCCTTACAGAATGGAAGCTCCTTAAGGGCAGGGCCTATGTTTTCCCCCTTTGTTTCCCCAGCACACCTGGCCAAATGACTGGTTTAGCATTTAATAAAAATCTGACTGATTTGTGTATTAGAGAGGATTCTTGAGGTAGCATGGTGGAGTGAGCTGAAGATGGATTCAGGAAGACTTTGGTTCAAATCCTACCTCTGAAACTTTTAGTTGTGTGGCCCTGGGAAAGTCACTCTGAGCCTAAATCTCCTCATCTGTCAAATGGGGTTCATAACAGCCCCTCCCTCCTAGGGCTGTAGCAGAAGTGAGGAGCTAAGGCCGGCCTTCATCATTTCTGGTTTCCTTTGCCTTCTCAAGTCTTACTGAGAAGATCCAGAAGCTGTGTTTGGGGCTCTGCAGAGGCCTGTCCTGGAGGGCTGGAGCTCAGTTTCCTTGGTTCTTTCTTCTGGTGTATTCCACGGGCTGGCAGGTTACCCTGGCACCTCACTACCAGGCTATCCCCGTATCTGGGAGAGGAAGGTGCTGCTGCTATGACCTGAAGGCAGGTTATATTGGTTGCATATCGATTAGATGCTTCCAGGAGCAACGCTCCTGCCTCTGCACTGGCATAAGCCAAACTCTGAAACGGGAAAGTCTCACCTGAGCCAAGCTCTGGTGTGCCACGGGCTCCCTACCTTGCCCCTTGCTTCTGTCCTCTCCCACATGCTAGGATATGAACAATGCATCTTATTGTAGTGGTAGCAACTCCCCCAAAAGAATTTATTGAGCACCTACTATGTATCCAGCCCTGTGCTGGGACCCTGAAGATAGAGGAGGAAGAGAGATGGACAATCCCTGGTCTCAAGTTGTGGGAGGAGGTAATCTACAACATACAAAGAATAATTTTGCCCTCAGCGGGACAGGGCTGACTCTATGCACAAGGGAGTCCAGACAAAGTGTAAGTGTAGACACTACAATGATTATGCAGCCCCACTGCAGGTTAGAAGGAAGAAAAAAACTGAATGAGGTAGGAAGACTTGAGTGAACTTAGAAGAAGGAACAGAACTGGGAGAAACTGAAGGGAGAGGAGCTGGTAAGAAGGGAATTTGGGCCAAGAAGGAGAACCCACTGAGAAGCACGAAGCATCGGAAAGGGTGCCAACAAGGAAGGACAGAATGTGGTTACTCCAACACCACCCGATCCCCGGGGTAACTGCTTCCTCCAGAGAGCTTCTTCCCTGAGGAAATCTGTGGCCAGTGAATAAGGCAGGCCCCAGCCTCAAGGGCCAAGAAGGGCAGCAGGTCTCTGCTCAGGGCACAGAGGGACCGTTTGCTAGTGCCCTGGAGTGGGACTTAGGAAGCGGGCCAACAGAGGCATGTGGAATGCTTGTGGCCTCCTGGGGACCAGTGTAGCTGCTACCATCTCCACCAAATGTAGTACAGCTGCCGGGCAGGTCTGCCACTCACTAGCAGTAGGTGACCCGTTAGCCTCTGGCATAGCTCCCAGGACAGCAGACCCCCCCAAGGGCTTGCCACTGAGTAAACGGGAGCGCCACAAAATTTAATCTGGACACCAGTTATGGGGAGCACGCTGCTGTCTCCTAGTCGGGGTGGCAACTCTGAAGCCGACTCCTCTTCCACCATTCCAAATGGGTCAGAAAGCAGGCCTGGAGGGGCAGGATGGAGCCTGCTCCATCCTTTCCCATGAATATCTCAACGGCTTCATGAATGCAAGGTTCTAAAAAGTGGAGCTCATTGAGAACATTTAAAGAAGGAAGGATCCCATAGCCTGAGCCCAAGGATGAGTCAGCCAGAGTTGCTTAAAATAAAACTGCTGTGCACATTATGAGACAACTTGATGAGCAGGAGTGAAAATAGCCACAGTGGGCGATCCCTTGCTAATATGTCAGCGCTTGTCATACACTGCAAGCTGTTTTCTTTGCTTCTGCTCTGCAGAGGAAGCAAAGCCCTTCTGACCCAGAAAGCCCGAACGGGCCTGAGCCCGAGAGTCAGTGCCTTTCACTGCCTGGGAGGCTTGGAAATGGTCACAAATGAGGACACCACCCCGAGCTGACCTCAGGTTCACGGACAGACTGCATATTGTGGAAGAGGCCTTAGACAGCCTGCAGTCCAGGGAGTCTTAACCTGAATGTTTTTTGATCACTGTATTTCTCCTTGTAATCCTATTTGTTTTACTCATGAAAAACATGATTTGGAGGAGTCCACAGGCTTCACCAAGATACCCAAAGGGGAGTTTGTGGTGGAGAAAAGGTGAAAAACTCCTAGATTTAGTTCTAGCCCCTTGTTTTATAGATGAGGAAACTCAGGCCCAGGAAGGCAAAGTCATTGGTCCACGGTCCCATGGGCAGAAAGTAAAAAAGCCAGGATATAAATGCAGATGGTGTGACTCCAAACCAGCCTTTGTGCCCCACCATCCCCAAGCCTTGAATGTGAGGGGACCACAGGGGGAGGGATGGGGAAGGAAGGTCCTGCAGAAAACCAGGAGAGGCTTCAGGGTCGAGGGAACCAATGTGAGAGCTCTGGGGACAACGTGAGACCCTGCACTAGATCAGCACTGGCTGCTCTGACCTGTGGCTCCTGTCCAGGGCCCATCAGGCTCCTTCCCCTCTCAGCTCCAGGCTGGGCCTTGGGACCAGAATCGAGGCTTCCTCTGCAGCACACTGGCCTCAAGAGTGGGTCTGTTTGAGGTCAAAGAAGAGCGGGCTTGGGACTGCCCTCTCCCCACTTCACAGAGGAAGTCCTGGGACAGAGAGGGCTTTTCCGACATGAGGCACAACTGGCCAGGGGCCAAGCTGGCTCTGTAACCAGGTCCTGGTGCCTGGGAAGCTGAGAAGCAAATCCCTGAAGCTTGGCCAACATCCGAGTTTCCCTCCTGATCATTCCTCTTCCAAATGACAATCTCAGGGGAGGGCAGCAGAAGGGGGAGGGGGCAGATGACAGGGAGGGTGCTCATTTCTGGCCTGGGCCCCCTGGGCCCGCAACAGTGCCCAAATGGCAGATTCTGATCAGCTCTGAGGGCACCAAACAAACCCAAGTTATTTTCCTTTTTTTTTTTTCCTTTTTGGTGAAGCATTTGAGGTTAAGTGACTTGCCCAGGGTTACATAGCTAGTAAGCATCAAGTGTCTGAGGCTGGATTTGAACTCAGGTCCTCCTGACTCCAAGGCTGGAGCTCTATTCACTGTGCCACATAGCGGCCTCAACAAACCCAAGTTAAACACAACGGGATGCTTCTTTTCTTACTCAGTGAGTTGTGAGCAAGTGAGCTCTGCCCACTCCTCAAACCTGGGGGCGACCCTGGGCAGTCATTCTCAGGACTCCCTCCTGCCCTGTGGGCTAGAGGGAACCCAGCACCCCTAGCTCTGGAGCCCCTGCTGTCCGACTGCAGCTGCTGGCTCTGCGTTACACCCTCAGGCACAAGGTGCTAGCCTCCTCCGAAAAAACGAATTAAAGAGGGTCCTCCTCCCAGCCTGGATGCAGCATTACAGCTTGGGAGGGAGGGGGCACAGGGCAGAACAGCTTTGGCTGCATTGGAGCCCAGCCTTTTCACATTTCATGCCAGAATCACTGAATCTCTGAGTTGGAAGGGACCTCAGAGACAACCAGTCCAGGCCGGGAGCCTGAGGCTATTTTAGTAAAAGGCAGTTTTTGAAGTCCATGCAATAGAATAAGCTATCATTAATAAAAGGTCTGTCCCTAGTATTCAATATCTGCAGGGCATCTATCATTTTAACGATTTACTTTTATTTGGTAATTAAATTGCTCCAGGAAAGCACCTATAACTCAAGAGCTTCTAAATCCCAGTAAGACGTTTGGACAGCAGACCATACCGCTCTTTGGTAAAATCCTAGAAAATACATGAACACTGATCTCAGAACACAAATCCTGGTAAATCTAGGAAGAGTTGAGCAGCGTGCAAATGCCCTTCCAGTTTGTTATTTCATTCCTTGGGATCTGGCTATCTCATTCTGAGCAGGATACTTGTTTCTGTGACCCTGGGGCAGGTCCACATCAACGCGGCATTTCAGGCCCTGGCCCTTGGGGGGGAGGGACACCTTTTACACTGACCTCATCCCTCCAAGCCTTGGAAGGATACTTCTGTCTTTGTCCACAGACAAAGGTGAGTGGCAAATTAGGACAAGGACATGGCTACTTCAGGCTGATGGCTTGCTTCTGCTAACTGACCCAGGTTAAGTCAGATGACCACAAAACTTGATTTCATCTGCATTTGCTGAATCATCCAGATAAGAGGCTGTCTCCACAGCCTGGGCCTTTTCTTAGCTATGGGCAGGGAGCTCTAGAGCAGTGGAACCACCCCCCTTCTACCTGTTTGGTCATTTCTGTGATGTTTATCCAGACTTTGCTCAAGCCCAGGTCTCCAGATTCAATCTTCTCCAGCTGCTTTTGTTTTCGGAGGAGGTCTTCATTTAGTTTGGGGATCTCTTGGAATGAGCTTTTCTGATTAGATTCCACTAAAACCAAAAATAAGAAGGATCAGCAATAGCAGCCAGTAATCCCTGTGACCCAAAGATGAGTGAACGTCAGACGACCTAAGCAGGGGAGAGCTGGGGGGCACAAGCAAATCAAACATGGGCTGAGAAGCATCTCCTATCCTTGGAGAGACAAGAGGACTTACAAAGAGGAGGGGGAAGAGTGCCTGGGGGTTCTGGTCTTAGCTCTGCCACCTCCTCCCTGGAGGTTCTTAGTCCACACACACTCTCTCTCAGAGCCTCAATTTTCTTTTTTTTCTTTTTTTTTTTTTAATTAGGCAACTGGGGTTAAGTGACTTGCCCAGGGTCACACAGCTAGTAAGTGTGAAGTGTTTGGTCTGAGGCCAGATTTGACCTCAGGTCCTCCTGACTCCAGGACCGGTGCTTTATCCACTGCTCCACCTAGCTGCCCCTATAGCCCCAATTTTCTGAAGTGTTAAATAGGGATAATTTTGGCCCTGCCTACCTTACAGTACCTGTAAGGACCTGATCCAATGAGATAACATCTGCAGAAGCACCTTGTGTGCTCCAAAGTACAATACAAATGTTAGCTTTTTCCTCTAGGCCTTCAAATGTGCACTATTAACATTTAGCATTTTATATCACACTGTCCTTATGCTCAGGACAAAGGTGGGGAGAGTCATCACTTTACCACATGACTTAGCTAAACCTTTCCTATCTTTTCCTCGCTAAGATCTTAAGCCTCAGCTGTAATCAGCCTGCTCACCAGCCACACTGGCCCATAAGCAGGGAGGGGGCTGAGAATTCTGACCAGCTCAAATTAGATTTGGGCCTGGCTGGGGGAAGGGTTTATCTTGGACATCAGGTCATTGAGAGACACGTAGGGCAGTTTGCAGGGCCTTTGCTTTGGGAGTTATGAGGCCAAAGTCTTCTTTGTTGCTCTGTTCATAAAGGATGTGGGGCCTCAATAACCTACAAAATGAAGACAGGCTACGAACTGCACTTGTACTGAGGGTCACCTTCTGCTTGATTAAGGCTCTTTATAAAAAAGAAGACACTGCTGTCTACCTGAATGCCAGCCTAGAGGTCAAAATGGAAGGAGGGGGAGGGATACAGGGAAGGAGAGATGCAAAGACACACCAGCTAACTCGTGGCTTGATACTTTGGCACTTTTAAGAGACCTTCAGGATGCACTGGGCCAGCACCAGTGAGCTCTGGAGGACCCACATCGTTTCTACAACTTTAAGTGACAATTTTCTACCCAAACAGCACTAAAAATAACTAAGACAAATGAAACATGCACATCCCCCCCCATGCCCTAGCACTGCTTGCATGCTCATTATTACATGTTAACTCTTAACAAATTGCTATAAAGAGCCAGCCAATAATATACTTTGAGGAAACACCTCCCCAAATCTTCACAGAGAGATGGAGCAAAATGTTAGGTAGTGCAATGAATCAAAAACCTGCGACAGAGTTTCTGGGTAATTAATAATCAATTTACTAATTAGGCTAGTTAGTAATCAATAAATTGGTGGTCAGAGGTTTCTCTCAGTCACCAAAGACTCCTAACGGAGATATCAAATGCTTTCAATGTTTTTTTTGAAAAGAAATGCTCCTGATAGGAAAAATCAACCCTGATTGGTGGCCATTTAAATGAAGAGGGGGGCTAAAAACGTTCACCTCTTCCTGCTGAGAATGCAGCTTGATCATGAGACTTAGCAGCCTCTGGCAACCCACACAGAGAAATCCACCTCTACCCAGACCACTCTGGTTGGTTTTCTCCTCCATGAGATGGGTCACCCTAAATTCCAATGGAGGGGTGCAAGGACATGGGCTTATTCCCTAAGGGCAAGAATCTACCTAGGTTATATCCTGTTTACACATCAAACAGAAGTAAGGTCTCCTAGTTGGGTGAGGTCCTGCTCAAGACTGAGGAGCAGGTTCCCAGAGGATTAGGGCAATATCCTCTATCAGCCATGCCCTTCAGAGAACTGACTGACTGACCTCCAGGGGCTGGTCCCTGAATGAGGAAATAAAAGGTCTGGATCCTAATCAATAATGAGTTATTGATACAGTGGAAAATAGTAATTTCTCTCAGTAGAGAAGGGAGTCGAAAGTAGTCAGAGAAGCTAAATAAAGCACTATAAAAAGAAAAGGTAAGGGGGTAGGGGAAGGGCAAGTATACCCTTACATTTCACCACCAGCATCCTTTAACAAGCCACATCAGGTGAGGGCTCCACACAGCCAGCTCGGTGTAGCAGAAAAGGAATGTTGGCAGCCGAGAGTGGGAGCCTTGGCCAGCTCTGGCACGAAGCAGCTGTTTCTTTAGGCAAGTCAAGTCACCCCTGACTTGCCGACCCCAGGCTGAATTTTGGTTCTTCATCTGTAAAATGCAGGTCCTGAGTGTTATGAATGCTAGGGTCCCTTCCACCTCAGAGAAGCAGATTGCTCACATTTGTCACCTTAAACCAATGCAGTGAGCCTTTAAACGGATTAAGCACTGTGTGCCAACCACTGGGCTATGTGTTGGGGATACAAGGCCAAAAGAAAACCATGCTCCAGCCCCAGGAGCTCACCTTCCATAAAGGTATCTCTACACCCAATCAATACAAGGTAGGAGTCTCTGGCCATGGGGTGGGAGTAGGGGAGGGCATATCCAAGATCAGAACAGGGGTCGTGGTGTGTATTTCAGTTACAGATAAAAAACTATGGCCCAAACACTAGATTCTTAATCCTGTGCCCCAAATGCCTAAAGTGGTTCACACCAAATCCCAATGAAAAGGATGGCAATGTGAAGTCGATCAGACAAGTCTCCCTCTTCCATGTTAATCCGGGCTGTGTTCCTGCCCCAATGGTGCCCTGGCTATCTGAGATGGGCTCATAGGATCCTGGTTTGGAGCCGGGAGGGATCTCAGCAGACACCAAGTCCAACCTCCTCATCTGACAGGGTGGATGGAAATGACTTGCTCGAGGTAACAAAGGAGTCAGCATCAGAGGTAAGATGTAAGCCCAAGGCCATTGGCTCTTTCCCTTGTCCAATGCTGCCCACTTTGAGAAGGTTATCTATTGAATTAGATAAATATTTGGGCATAGTGTCAAAAACCAGCCAGACACGCAGGCACAGGTAACCAATGGGCTAAGAAGGAGTCTCCAGGCCGGCTTGGTGAGTGCTATATAGCGTAAGGCTATACTGATCCTGATCCCGAGTTGGCATGGAGTTTTCCATGCACCAATGACATTCTCTTCTGGGGCCATGACAGAGCCAGGCTCCCAATCACAGAATCTGAGAATGGGAAAGGACCTCAGTGGCCTTCTATTCTATGCTGAACCCCCAAAAAGAACCGCCACTAGAACGTGCTGGTCACGGGGACATCTGGCCTCCCTGGGGAGGCTCCCCTCCTCCAGCCTGCAGCGCCCCGCTGCTCCTGGTCCTGCCCAACTCCTCTTCCACAGGTCAGCTCTTTGGATACTTGCACAGTTTTCACGTCCCTTGAGTCAGCTCTCCTCTAGGCCAAATGCCCCAACTTCTTCCAACCAATCCTCATACGTCACACACTCAGGGCCCTTCACCAACCTGTTTGCCCACCTATGGGAATGCTCCAGCTTGCCAGTGTTCATAAACGATGGTTTCCAGACCTGAATATAATCCTGCGATGACATCTGTTTAGGACAGAGGACAGAGAGACGCCCACTTCCCTGTTCCTGGGAGCTCCACCTGCCTTAATGCAGCTCAAGGCGGCATTGGCTCTTTTGGCTGCCACACCCCCCTGATGATTTGTGTTGAGCTTGAAATCCACTGAAACCCCCAGATCGTCTTCAGAACAATCTCTGTCTATCCATGCCTCTCCTACCTTATACTTACAAGGTTGATTTCAGTACTCAAGTGCATGTCTTTACATTTATCCCCATGACATTTCATCTTATTGGATTCTAAGGCCTGTCAAGGTCATTCTGGATCCTGACCCAGTCATCCGGTGGGTTTGTTAGGTGCCCCTCCCAGCTCTGAGTCACCTGCCAGTCTGAGGAGCAGGCCACCCAGGCCTTCATCCCAGTCATTCATAAAAATAAGGCGGCACAGGTCCCAAAACAGGTCCCTGGAGTGCTCTACTAGAGAACAACTGCTATGTGCACAATGAATCATTAACGACTGTTCTTTGAGCGCAGACACCTGACCAGTTCTGAACCCATCTGACTCAATTACCGAATCACTCTCTCTCCACCTCCTTTACCAGAAGAGTGCGAGACAACCACAGGAGTCACCCCAGTTTCAGGCTCTCCAGGGAAGGGGTGATAAGGAGCTGAGCTAGTCCCCGTGTGCCTGGCCTGAGCCCCAGAGGATGGCGGCCGGGTAGGGCCCCTTTAGCGTGCTCTCCCAAGGAAGGAGGACAGCACAGGCACTCTGATTAAATAAACAGGAGGAAGTATAACAAACAGCTCCCAATGACTAATTCATGAGCTTTCGACACCAAAAGCACCTCGTGCAACACTGATGACTCGGCTGCAGGGAAGATTCCCAGCTGCCCACTGGACGAGTCTTCCTTGGTACCCACCAATGATCCCTCTGCTCACTGGGGAAACAGATGATTCAGAGGCTCTTTAAGGCAAACATCCACACCCTGGTGTCTGGGTAAATACCGTTCAAGAAGAATACTCCAGGAAGCCCCACACTGGCCCTTCTCTGTGGTCTGTCTCCTCACTGGCACATGCCTCCAATCACTCAGGGCCTGCTGGGGTCAACAGTCACTGAGGAGGTGCCTACTATGTTCGAGGCAGCATGTGAGGCCCGAGGGAAGTAGAGGAAAGAAGCTCTGGGTGGTGCCTGATCTGGAAGCTCTGGCTATGAAGTCACTGCAGACTCCAAAGCTTCTCAGTCCACTTCCTTACCATCCCAGGGCCACTGACTTCTTAAGTAGACAAAGGGAAGGCTGGTGTTTTTCCCTTCCTCACCTCCAAGAAGGGGAAACGACCAAAGGATGACCATATTCCCTTTACAAAACCAAATGCCAGCCGAGACGACTTCAGCAATGTCTGCCACTTCTCCAGCATGTCCCCATCCCATACTAAAGGCCACAAAGTTGTAAGAAGGTCAGGGCATAAGGTGTCTCTGGTGGTTATAAAGTACAAGCCAAACCAAGCTTTTCCTCCACCAGGGTCCTCCCTAATGCCTCGCTGGGCAGAGGTGCCCAGAACTCTAACAGGCATGCTGGCAGGGGCAATGGACCAGGCCCTACTGCACTGAAACATCTGGGCCCTGCAGACAAACTCTGGAGCGTGGCTTTGATCAACTACCTCATTAATCTATCTACAGAGGCACAAAAACGCTACAATTGGAAGGGAAGTAAAAACCACCTCCCGCCCCCATGCAATCATGGTCCCCCTAAATTCTGAAAAACACACCCTGCAGCTGGGATTAGGATTCACACTGCTGGACTGAAGCACACCAGAACCACCAGCAGCTGGTCATAATACTCCATTTGGTAAAGTGTCCTGGACGGGGCTAAAAGGGAAAATTAACTCAAACATAAATTCCACTCCATCATAAACTGATTCTATGTAGAGATAAGGAGAATGGGTCAGACGGATACACAGGCTCCGAAGAGAACAGCTACAGGTCCCCTCAGCCCCTTAACTGAGGAAGGTCTCAGAACATGGGCAGCATTATCTTCTTCTCCAAGGAAAGTCCCTCAGAAGTTTAATTAAGGGCTAGATATTCTCAGGACAGACTGGGAGCCTGAGTGATTGTGGACAGCAAAAAAAAAAAAGGGCCTGGGCTAGAGGCAACTTGTGATGGCAGGACCCCATAGGCATGGGATGGGAAGGCAGGAGACATTTACTTCTGATCCCTGGTGCCAAGGACTCTCAGACTTCAGACAAGCTTGGCTTTCACGGTTTCCTTCTACAAGGATGGTGTCAGGGGGAGTTAGCTTGTTTATCAATCAGTCACAACATGAACAACTAGCTTAAATACTGTCTTACAGGTTTAGGGTTGCCAAGAAGACTTTTGTAGACTATCTGGAGATAAGCTAAGCATTATTTTAAGGGAATCTGTTCTGTAAAGTTGCAGGTTGATGTAAAAGGAGAAATGTCCTCAACAAGGGGCTCCCTTGGGGGGCTGGAGGCCCACCTGTGGAGGCTGCAAGTCCCCAATCACTTGAGATTTTTAACTCAAGACAGTCACTAAGGGCATATTCCAGCGAAGTCAAGGCTGAGCTGTCCCTCTGAGCCTCCTAGGATTCTATGAAGCTAAGGCTTTCTAGAGATTGGGGAGTGGCTCTAAAGTCCACTGACAGGCCGCCTTCCTCACTGGAGGCCTGCCTCACTCTTCTCTGCCAGGCAGGCCCTCAATTCCCCTCCTGTGGGAGGGCCAGTTGTGCCCCTCTGATCCTCTTGTGGGGACTGCTGTCCCTCCAGCACCTACAAGGGCCTCAATAAATAAACAAGTAATGAAATGAACTGTTTTCCAATAAAATATGCTCCTTACTTTTGGAAATATCCTGTTAACATTCATAGGTGGTAAAGTTAATTACAACTTGTAAAAGACTACCATGAATAAAAGGACAACCTAGAAAGGGTGGGAAGGTATGTGGATGGGGGTTGACCTAATTAACCAAACTCACTGGCCCCAGCTGTGAAGATGCTGGCAAATGCGTTTCCTTCTTTGGCCCAGGAAACCTATTTGTTTTAAAAAGTTTTCTTGTATGTGTACATGTACGTGTGTACACACACACACACACACACACACACACACACACACACACACACACACACACACACACACACATCATTCATAGCCTAATCTCCATTTCCACCCAATAGAATGTTCTCTTATAATAAACACAGGGAAGTAGAGCAAACACATTGACCAGACTGGCAGCATATGCCTCCTTCTGCGCCGACAGCCGAACACCTAGCAACCACCTACACTAGCACTTTTAGGACCCTTCTTTTCTCACACTGGATCTCTTGAAAAGCTCTGAAAGGTTCTATGGCCTGTGTTTCTCTGGATTCTTCTGTGGGGGCTCAAAGCAACAGAAGGTCATTCAGAGTTATCTCAAAGATCCCTGCCAGGTTGGTAATGAGAATAAGAATGGCCTGACTGCCGCCCTTTATAGGCAGGGAAAGTGAAGGTGCAGTCCAGCTATGTCCACGGCAAGAGCTGAGAGCAAGCTGAGAGATCAATAGTCATCTAATCCAGTTTCCTCAAGTCACAGAGGAGTAAACCAAGGCCCAGAAGAACCCAGGCGAGCCCCGAGCCCGGGCTTCCTTCTGCTGCCTAGCTCTTAGCCCCGAGGCTTCCTCTCTCATCACCCTTCCTCCCAATACACTTAGCTGATCTCTCCTTTGTAGTCGCCGGTCCTCCTGGGATGCACGGAGGGGACCCTGGGGTTTGGGACCAGACAAGCTCCAAAGGATGGTTCTGTTCGTGGCCCAAACGGTTCCTCTAGGTGTCGTGGCAGAGAGGGCACCCACCCAGAGTGACAGAGGGGGGACTCTTGCTCTAAGACCCCAGCTGGCACGCATGGTCTCAATCAAAGTGGGCGGCCCAGCTTAGCCCGGCTGTTGCCCCCTCCCGCGGGGAGGGGCCCCCACTCACGGATTCTGAACTGATCCTTGAGGCCGTCCAGGTCCTCCTTGAGGGCCACCTGCATCCACACCAGGCCCACGCACGCCACCACGCACGCCGCCAGGATCACGAACGCGCACAGGGGGTAGCAGACCTTGCAGCAGCGAAAATAGTCTCCCCTGCAAACAAACCCGCAGACCGGGTCGTGAGCGCCCGAGCCTGGGGGCAGCTGAGCCCCCGACCCAGAGTGTGGGGGAGGAAAGGCGACCTCAAGAGCTAAGGGGCCATTTGAGGAAGGACCAGAGACGTCTTTACCAAGAGGGAGGGGGTCCGAGACCTGGGTTCAAATCGTGCCTCACTACAAGACCCGGGGTGATGGGTTTCCTCGGTCCCACCGCGGCGCCTGGTTTGGCAGCTCCTAGTTCCCCACCGCTGTGCCTCTGCACCGCCTGTCCCTCATGCCTGGGATGCCTCCCCCCACCCGCCTGGGGGCCCCTCGCTTTGCCGGGCTGAGGTGGGGGGGGGGTCTGCCGTGGGGCCCGGCCCCACCCCCTCCCGCACCCCCGCTGCGCCGCGCCCCCTCCCACCTGGCGAAGCGCGCGCGGGCGCCTCCCCCTCCGCCGCCGCCGCGCTCGTCCTCCTCCTCGTCGTCTTCGTCGTCGTCGTCGTCCTCGTCCTCCGAGCTGGACGCTGAGCCCGAGGCGGGCGGCTCGGTGCGCAGCAGCCGGTGGCCCGCGGCGCCCCTCCAGGCCCGGCGGCTGCGGCGGCTGCGGCCGCGCCCGTCGCCGGGGCCCAGGCCGATGAGCGCGTTCAGCTCCTTGCGCTTCTTCATCTTCTTGGGCGGCGTGAGGGGGCCGCCCGGGACCGAGCAGCAGCCGCCGGGCTCCAGCGCGGCCCGGCCGGGGGGACGCGGGGGGACGGCGCGGGCGGGCGGGGGCTTCGCGGGCTGCTCAGCCGCTCCGCTCCCTCGGCGCCTGCGGCTTCGGCTCCGGCTCCGGCTCCGACTCCGGCTCCGGCTTCGGCTCCGACTCCGACTCGGCCTCGGGCGGCCGCGGGCTCCGCTCCCGTCCCATGGCCATGGCCCGGCCCGGTCCCCACGCCCCTCCCCCAGGGCCGCGGCCGCCGGACCCTCCTGCCAGCAACGCGCGCTCCTATTGGCCGCCCTCCGTGACGTCACGAGGGCGTGAGCGGGGCCTCCTTAAAGGGCCCGCGGGTCCTACTCCCGAGCGGAGCGCCCCCTCGGAGCTGGCTGCTGCGGCGAAGGGACAAGGGAACAAGCGTTTGTAGCGCCTGCTACGTGGCAGGCATCATGCTAAGCACTTGGGGAGCCTAACACCGTAATTCTAGAGCTGGAAGAGGCCGCTGACCACACCCCTCTCCCGTGGTACAGATGGGGAAACTGAGGCCCACTTGCCCAAAGTCGGGAATCCACAGGGTAGAGCTGGAAGCGACCTTGGAGTCCAGTCCATAGGACAGCTGGGGAAACTGAGACCGGATTGGTAAAGGCACTCCCCCAAAGACACACAGCTAGAAAGTGGCGACACAGATGGGACTCCCAATCCAATACTTTTTTCCCCGTACCAATCTGCCAAGCTTCCAGTCCCGAACTCAGCACAGCGACTTGGCAGTGTGACCTTAGCCAAGTTTGGGCTGCCTCAGTTTCCACTTCACAGAGAGAGGCAGGTGCTCTAAATGAGTCAGCGGGTCTGTTGGCCGGCATTTTATGAAGCTCTTGTGTGCACTGTGCCAGGCACTGGAGTGGGTCCCCAGCATACAGAGGAAGGCAAGAACATTCCCTGCCACCTAGCGAGGAGACCCCCGGATGGATACATAAGCTTATACAGAGCAGATGGAAAGTCCTGTGAAAGATGAGGTGCTTGTGAGGAAGGATGCTTTTGTCCTTTTTACCAGTAGCCCTCAGAGCCTGGCACGGGCCTGGCACAGAGAAAACCTTGTTTGATTCATCCTGTAGGGGAAAACAGCCAGCCCAGAGTCAGGAAGTGAAAGCCCGAGGTCAAACAGAGCTGGAAGAGAACCGGACTGTCCTAACTCCAAGCCTGGAACAGCGATGCCCTTCTGAATCCCTGGGATTGCTTCATTTCAGTGCTTTCTTGATAATTCCTTTTCCAGAACTGACCCGATTCATCTGAGGTCAGGGAGCGAGCTGAGTAGGCAAAAATAATGCAGCATGTGCTGGGGAAGAAAACCAGTTATTATCATGTCTATGGTTGTTTCCCTGGTGACACAGAACAGGACAGAAATGCTCCTTGGTTCAGGCAGCCCAGGACCCAAGCAAGCGCTCTGCCCTCTTCTGCCTGCTGTGAAGCCTGGAGTCCTGGCAGTGACAGAGCCTAGGGGTGACTGTTCTCTAAGAACCAGCCCTGCGCAGGGATGAGAGAAGTGGCAGGGGATCAGTGGTTTGACTGGGTGGCTCCCCAAGGTGGCCACCTACCTTACAGATGGGCTGTGATCTGCCATAGTGAGGGGAGGGTACGCACCATCTCAGTCATGTGTCCTCCGAGTTTTGTTGTTACTGTTTTTGTGGTCATAATTATGTCTCAGGGAAGCAGGAAATGCTAAGTATGAAAATAAAACCAGGTGTGTTTTGGGGGAGTTCAGAGGGGTCTGAGGCAAAGAGTCAGGCTCAGCTCCCCACTTTCCCTTCTGTCCCCATCCCTGACCAGCATGACTGCTGTGACCTCACCTTCAGTGGAGCTGGGGAACGGTGCCGAGGTGAGGGCTTCTCACCTACACCCATAGAATGAACCTGATGCTCACCCTGGGATGGCCCTCGGGCACCACGTCAGTAAGTTTTAGGACCTGGTCAGGAAAATGGCTTAGCCCGGAGGATGCCAGTCAGGTGAAGGTCATGCAGTCAGTCTCTGGGACAAGGGCTTGTGGTGTCTCAGGGACACAAGCCAGCCCCAGCCCGAGGCATCACCCATTCCAAAGACTGATCCATCAGCCAGGGCAGGCAGAAGCTGCCCCTGTATCACAGGGAGGAGGGCAGTGGGAACCAGCCTTTACTGCATTGTACATGTGCACGCTGCCTCCTCTGTTAGAAAACAAGCTTCTTGAGGGCAGTGACCAATTCCTCCTAGCCTTTGTATGGCCAAGCTCAACGCAGTGCCCAGGCAGTAAGTAGATATTAATAAATGCTTGTAGCTTGTTTAATTGTTAGATAGCATCCTATCCAGTGGCTCCATTTTACTGAAGTGTAAACTGAAGCCCAGGGATTTGCTCCGGGTCTTATGTGTTAAGTAGCCCAGCTGGGAATCAAACCAAAGCTTCTCTGGTCACAAAGCTGGGTCACCAGCCTGACCTACTGCCTGCAGGTGGTGAGGCCTGCAGACCCACGGGTGGACTCAGGCCCTGAGCTCCAGGCAGCCATCGCCAGCCTGGCCCCTGGCCGCAGCCTCCCTGGGCCTCACATCCCTCTTTCTCCAACACTGACCGGCTGCTTACTCCACCCACCAGGAGGAACGTGGCCTTCCCGCTGGGCACAGGTCCAGGCGGCGTCACCAGCCTGACCCGGCCAGCACCCCAGCTGCCAGCAGGTCAGTGGGGAAAACATCTCTGCCATTCTGGGTACTGCCCACTGTATTCCTGTTCTTGTTTCTCTGCATTCTCTTTTTACTGCCCAGTCATAAACTCTTTATAGAGGCGTGGTCCCACAGCATTTTGAGGGAGTATTTGACCCTAGAGACCCAATCTATAATCTTTGCTGAAGTAAGCAGTGGACCTGGAATGGAGTGAGCAAGACCTGAGTTCAGATCCAGCCTCAGATACTGAAAAGCTGTGTAATCCTGCACTTAACCTCCTGCACTTAACCTCTGGTTGTCTCAGTTTCTTCATCTGTAGAATGGGGATAACAGCACCTACCTCCCAGGATTAAATGAGATAATGTTTATAAAATGCTTTGCAAACTTTAAAGTGCTACATAAATGATTATTGTTGTTCAGTCCATGTCTGACTCTCTGTGACCCCATCTGGGGTTTCCTCGGCCAAGATACTGGAGTGATTTTCCATTTCCTTCTCCAGCTCATTTTACAGATGAGGAAACTGAGGCAAACAGGGTGAAGCGACTTGCCCAGGGTCACACAGCTGGTAAGGGTCTGAGGCCAGATTTGAATTCAGGAAGGTGAGTCTTTCTGACTTCAGGCCTGGTGCTCTGTCCACTGCGCCAGCTAGCTGCCCCTAGATAAATGACAGCTAGCTACTATTTCATATGGCATAATATTCCATTACTGTCATGTTTTATAATTTTCATGCCCATTCCCCAATTAATAGGCACCTGTATTTTTCCGTTCTTAACAGCCAGAGGACCTGCCACCTCACCCCACAGGTGCTTCGCAGCCCTGGGGAGCTCATAGTAGCTGGCCCCTTTCCAAGCTGCAGGTGGTTGGGCTCTTGGAATTTCCCAGAAGTCCTAGAATTCTAGGATTCCTAGAATTTCTCTCCTCACCATCCGCTTCAGCTTCCAGGTAAACAGCTGTGCCAGATGTGAGGGAGGCCCTACGGTCCTCAAGGAGGCAAAAGCTAAATGTGTCTGTAGGGAGGGGTAGGAGTGGGGGCAGGGAACCAAAATAATGTTGAGAACAATGGTCCTATGCTCCTAGAGGAAGCAGTGGCCTCATTCCCACCATTATGTGAGGACGGGCTATTGAAGGAATCCGGTCGTTACTGTCCCCAGCTGGACCCCAGGATTCTGTTTGAGACTCGGCAGCTGGCTGTCTCACTTTGAGAAAGAACAGGAGAGCAAGGAAACTGGAGACCAGGTCATAGGGGCATCCAGTGAAGATGAAGATGGGGTCCTGAGAGTGGCCTTCAAGTATCTGAAGGGTCGAACCTTAGAAGGGGAGTCAGCCTTGTTCAGTTTGGCTCCAGAGGGTAGAGCCAGGAGCAGTGAAGGGAAGTTGTTAAGAGGTAGATTGATTTATTTATTTGGTGAGGCAGTTGGGGTTAAGTGACTTGCCCAGGGTCACACAGCTAGTGAGTGTTATATGTCTGAGGCTGGTTTTGAACTCAGGTCCTCCTGACTCCAGGGCCAGTGCTCTATCCGCTGTGCTACCTAGCTGCCCCAAGAGGTAGATTTAGCCCTGATATCTGGAAAAACCTAGTAGTAATGAGCCCTACCCCAAAGTGGAATGGGTTACCTTGGCAGGTAGTGGGTCCCCCTCTCTGGAAGTCTCCTTGAAAAGGCTAGGATCCCCCCCCGCCCCAACACACACATTGGGCACGTTGTAGAGGGCATTTCTTTTCCAGTAATGAGGTGCTATATTCATCATTATTTCAGGTTCTATTACTGCTCTCTTTATGGGATTCAGTTTACCTCTCTGTAAAGTGGAAGTGATAGGTCTCTACAGACTTCCTGGTTTTAGTTCCCTAACAGTTGCCTCAAACTCCCTGTACTCTCACTCCTCTGTAATGACAATGCTGCCTCTTCCCATGCTACCAATCTCACTCTCACATCAAACTTAGGCAGTCGTCCTTCTGGACCACTTGGTCATTCAGGCCACAAGCATTTCTCGAGTGCTTCCTTTGGGCTAACACCATTTGCATCATTGGGAATACAAAGAAAGGCAGGAGTTAGTACCTGTTCTTAAGGGGGTCACATTGCAGTGGGAGAGACAGCACATGAACAAACAAGATATGTTCAGTGGAAATGGGTGGTAGTTTCATGGAGAAGAGACTACTAAGAGGAGAAATCGGGAAATGCCTTCAGCAGAAGGTGGGATTTGAGCTGAGTCTTGAAGGAAGCCAGGAAAACCAGTAGGTGCCAGGCAAGGGAGGAAGACATTGCAGGCATGGGAGACAGCTGGAACAAAGACTTGGACTTGTGAGATGGAACAGCAAGAAAGCTGGTGTCTCGGGGTCATAGAGAAAGTGGAGGACAGGCTAGAGTGAGAAGATTGGAAGGGTAGCAAAGGACCAGGTGGAGGGCTTTAAATGTCATACAGAGGACTTAATGAGGAGGAGGGCAGACCCTGGCTGTAGGAAAACTGCCTTGGCAGCTAGGTGCACTGGGCAGAAGCTTGAGGCAGGGTGACCAGCCAGCAGGTTATGGTAGTAGTCCAGGTGGGAGGTGATGAGGGTCTGTGCTGAGTGGTGGCAGTG